AAGGCGAGAGCGTGGGTGATGGCGGGATGCCGTGAGTATCGCCGTGCGCAGACTCCGCAACGGCGCGGTTGTTTGTGCTGCCGAGGGGCCCTGCGCCCCTGGGCGCGCGTCGGATGCGTCGTCTCGCGTGACTTGTTTGTGGCGAGCGGCGTGCAGCGCGCGAGCGGGGAGGATATTTGCGTGGGGATGGAAAAGAAAGGAAAAGGAAAGAGATTGAAAAGAGAGAGCTGTTGTGGGGATTGTTGGATGGTCACATACCAAATGGCATTCTTAACGGCATTCCGCGTATTGGGTTAGTTTAGTCCTCTTGGGGATTGAGGTGGGGCTGGGAGAGATGCTCAACGCTGTGGTTCTACGATGCCTGAGGGCAGGAGGTGGCGTCTGACAGGTCGGGGACCGCCCCCGGACTTCAGGGAAGAGGACCCGAACCGAGGTCTGGAGAACATGACCAAGAGCCTCGCCAACTTGCAGCTCACTGTCCCTGAGCAACGCAAGGTGGGGTTTGAGGCTGAGCTGACATTCTTATCTTCAGGGGTGGCAGGGGTGCACCAAAATTAAGTATCCAGACGGGGGTATTGATGTAGAGATGGCACTGTTGCCTTCTGAGTATCTTGCCAGCACAACACGTCCTGCACAGCTGGACCTGCCAGCTTGTCCGACCACATATGCGGCCCTCTTGGTTGGACAAATGGACAGGGGACTGTGTAATGTGTATTTTTCAAAGTGGTGCAGATTGTCGCAAATTGTTGGAAAGGGACAGTCAAACACAACATCAATGGTCAAACCAGCGTTTTCCATCATGCAACATGCAACAGTACAGCAAACGGCTGAAAACCCATTTTGGGAATATTCTTCTGTGTAGAATTATGCCCATCTTTGCCTACAAATCATCGCCTTGCAGGTGAAACAGTTCTGGTTGTGTCTCTGAGACATCTGCAGTGGAAGCGAGTTCAGCATGCAGAGGTTCAAGGGATGGGGTTGTAATGTTCTTCCAAATGTATTCAACAAAGTTGGAAAGCGGTCCTGAAGGCAGGTTGGAAGGAAGAGGGTCCAGAGGATGGCCGCAGTGATTTTCTGTGGCCAGATTTGTTCAACATCTCCATCTTTTGTTACTTTATTGCAGCTGCCCAGCAATTTGGCAAGACGGCCAAACTTGGGCTCTGCCGGCAGGAAGGTTGTGGTGTTTGCCAACCATTTCAAGGTGGAGTGTCAGGCCACCCATGCCTTCCATTATGATGTCAACATCGTCCCCAGTGCGGAGAAAAGGATGGGTATGTATGTAGTATATTCAAACCTTCCACATTTTGAAATCTCAACGTGACGATTTTAGTGCTTCATTCTTTTCAAAGACCAGTACTATTTGATTGTGCACTCTATGCCAGGTTTAGCAGGTGCAGGTTGGACAGGACAACCTGCTGGCCTAGCTTTGCTTGGAACTGGCCAGTCCACTGGCACCTCTGGTGCGTGTGCCGTGGGACCCAAGCTGAGAGGGGGGAAGGGGGGTGGGGTGGGGGGCCTTTTTGAGGGGGCAAGGGAGATGGCGAGGTGAAGCGCGTGTCCGTGGTGGTGGGCAACCGGAGGGGACAGGGTGTGTGCCGATGCAAGCCAAACCAGGCCACATTTGCTGCATAGTAGGATGGCCATCCATGAAAATGGCGGCTGCTTCAGCAGCCTGATTGGACTGATTATGTGTATCCAATGGAGACTGTCCAGGTCGTCGTTGATTTGGCAGTCAGTGGTGTGTGGTTGCATTGGGAGACCATGCCCTTCTCGTTGTTGTGGCGCAGCAAGCCAAGGCAACAAGGAGCAATTGTTGACCAGCGATCTTTCAAGATAGTTGGTTGCATTTGCAGCGTGGCTTGCTTTGGTTGTGTGCATTGCTTTTGCAAGCAAGGCATTGAAGCAAAGCAATTCACGCTACAATAATGCAACGTTGGGTCAACGTTTGAATGCTCTTGTGGCAGCGGCAGACAAGGTTGCGTTAGAGTCAGTCAGGGCATTGCTTTTTGGCAGCTCTGTGTTTTGAATACTGCTGCATTTGCAGTATTGCTCTGCAGGAAAAGACATAGTGTTACCTAATGATGGTGAAGGGTGTAACCATGGTGGCGTGCTGAATCTGGTGATCTGTGAATTGGCACCATATTGCGGCCGTCTCATGGTGTTCAACTACTGTGCAGCATGAAAGCAAATACTATCTCTGTCCCAAGAGTATTGCTGCTTTTAATCTTGCTATAACTTTGCAGGATCAGCTCAGTTAGTCAATCTGCCACCAGATTCGGATTTCTCGTTCGATTTTGAGTTGATGTGGATCTTGATTATTGTTGCGTTGACCTTTCGCGCTTGGTTCGCACCCAGTCACTCTCAGGCATGGGAAGCAAGACTGTAAGCAGATGCATTACAGGTTGAGTGCACCAGTTAAGTAATTGTACATGCAAACATATTCCCCCTCCCATTTCTCCATGTACACGTCACCACGACGCCATCACCATATTCACCGTACCACATTTCACCATAAATCTCCTTATGTCACACAATCACTTATGAGTTGTTCTTTCGTCCTCACAGTTATATTAGTCATTCCCGTACAACAGGAAATTCACAGCCCAATCAAAAGCATCCCTGTCCATTTCTGTCAGGGCCTCAATTCCCCGTAGTTTTGTGCTCACGTTATCCCCATGTGTGCCAACCTATTTCCACAAAATTATTCAAGAACCTTGTTCTAGGCAATAACTAGGCACTACTAGAATCTCTCAAGAGTTTTGGCATCATTGCAGTTGTGGACCATCTCTTCCGCTATGCTGACTCATGTCTTTGAACTTCTCAATTTGTACGATTGGCTGTGTTGGCGCCAACATAGGCCGTTTCGGGGCTAGCGTCAGCATACACTGCCTTCCCAACCTTGTTGCATCAGCCAGGTCAATGCTGTTGCACTAATCTAGGTGTCTCTTGCCCTTGGCCACAACATGCGAACAGTTCTTGTTGGTACCCCATAATCTGCAGCAACCCTGGATCGTTGCTCTGGGCCTCCTACTTTGCATCTAGCCAAATCTTCAGTGTATGTCAAAGAACCAATCAAGGTCAATCGTCTTTCTTGGAGACAGCTCAGCTCGATCCACGTCCTTTGAAGGGCAAGATGAGGTCGCTATGCTCTGCCAGAGGTCCCAACAAAACGCAAAGTCGCATTTCAGCTGCTCCTCACGTGTCACAGGAACAGCGTGTCATTTGCTACACTTGGGGCCTACAGATACTTGACAGTATGACATGTCGAAGTTGTTTTGGTCGAATTTTCTGACTCGCACATTTTGACCTTCGTTTGCTTGAATTAAAAGCGCGACAATACTTCTTAGACAGAGGTAGCAGATAATTTAGCATCCGTCAAAGCACATCATGTTGTGGTGCTGGGCCCTTGGAGGGCGAATGTCACAAAACTATGGATTTCACACCGTGATGTGAGCTGTGCTAGAAATCGTCCTATCCATACAGCAGGACAAGAGATAGGATCGAATCCATTCCAGTGCGACTGTGTCCCAGTGACAGCTGATTGGCGATCAATTTGTAGGTGAGGGGTTGGCAGTGGATTTGATGCCATTGGGCAGAGAGTCCTACTTGCAATGAGCACAAGCAACTATGCGTGCACCAGCACTTTTTGATATTTTGCAACTAGAGATACCAAAAACATATGTCAGTAAGAGTTTATGGATATTTTGACATGCACCCTTATTGCCAATCAAAAGATATCTATTGGATTCAAAAGTTTTTTCTTTCAATCAAAAGTTACCTTGTCAAGCCTCTGGTACATCATGGTTTGCATCATTTTGTTCGCCCATGTCTGTGCATGCACTGGCACACAGGTGGGAATGATGATCCAGAGAAGGCTGGGGCACCCAACAGGCCTCTGCCAGCAAAATTGTGCCGTGCACTCATGGCGGAACTGGCGGAGCAGCAAGGTTGGAATGCACAGTGGGCTTTCGATGGGAAAAAGAATTTGTACTCCCCGTTTGGGCCTGACAAATACCTTCCCAAACATGAGCATAGCTTTGAAGTGCAGCTCAAGGAGAGCAGCCCACAGCGACAGAGGAACTTTACGGTGAGAATAGTGTGCCAGTCGGCAGTGATTGCTGTCCAGTTTTCAGCAATGAAGACACTGCATTTTCAGAGCAGAATGCTAACAACATCTTCAGCAATTGCAGTCTTGTTGAATATGGCATTCCAGGGTTCATGCCTCAGCGTACTTGTCATTTCAAGCTTCCCACGGGCTTGGACTTGTGTCATGAGATACCTGCAAGTGTGTTGGCCCAAGCCCGTGTCTGTCCGCATATGCTGTAAGACCCTTATGTCTGCGATGCCGCTGTCCATTTCTTGCCGCAGGGCCAGACTTTGCTGGCCCTCTTGTCACACTATGTGAAAACTGCAAACATATGCCTGTGCATGCGGTGGTAAGGGTGGTATTGAGATGATACAAATAGTCATGGCAGACTCTATAGTGCCCATTCGCACGCCTCACAGAAAGTGTTTCATTTTCCAGCCTCCCTTCCAAGATCTCTGCATTGTGTCCGCCAGCGTCTCTTTTCAGAGACTCACGTTGCCCATATCGTTGTTGTTCTTGGTCATCCAAGTGTAAGGATAACCAAAAGAAATTGGCTAAATATGTGTTCCCCGCGATGGCAGATATTCAAGTGTCCATGCCCTTGACCCCCAACCCTTAAATGGGGCCAGCGCTGGCCAATTGTAATTGCTTCCATGTGTGCCACCCTGCAGGTTACTACGAAACTTGCCTCGCAAGTCAGCATATCTGCTCTCCTGCAGTATGTGCTGAACGGTGGCCTTGACATCCCAAAAGACGCCATCCAGGCATTGGATGTCGTCCTCCGGCACAGTGCCTCTATGGATCCGAACTGCACGCCAGTTGGAAGGTCCTTGTACTTTTGGGATCCCTCAAAACGGCAACCACTTGGTGGGGGAGCTGAGGTGCGATGTATGTAATGGTCGTTCGTTCATTCCAGCATATTGCATCTATTTGAGAGCTGTATTCTGTTGTTTCCGTTGTTGTTCTTGCCATTGTTTGCTTTTAGAGTACGATCATTGATTTGTGTGGTATATATGAGTAAAAATTCGTATGAAACAGATGAAAATGCGCTACTGTGCTCTATGGCCATGTGATCTCCGATATGTGCTTCAGGCATGGGTTGGCTATCACCAGTCATTGCGGCCCTGCCAGTTTGGCCTGGTACTCAATGTGGACTCAGCTGCCACTGGCTTCATCGAGCCCGACAACCTCGTGGAGTTCATCCGCAAGGTTTTGGGCATGCAACCAAACCGCATTGGCCACCTGCAGCCCAGGGAATACCGGAAGCTGAAGAAGGCACTGTTGGGTATACGGGTGGGTTGCTCTCTTGCTCGCCTGGGCCTGAAGGCCAAGGACGCAGTCAAAGGCAGGAATGGCCTTGAGGTTCTGAGTTTGACTTGCTAACGGTCACCACAGAATCATCAACTCCCAACTTGCGTTGCCAGGTTGTTGAGCTTCCCATTCTTCTGTCATTGGCCCGACTTTGCTGAGATGTTGTTAGGAGTGGTTGATATGTTCAAAGCATTGCCCCCACATTCAGCAATTCAAAGTTCTATTATCAAAACTGTCATGTAGCCCGGCTGCAGCTCTCTTGCCGCTGGCATGTTGTCTAACGTCATTTTCTTTAGCAATATTGCATTTATATGTTGTGTTGAGAGTTGCCCAATGCTCTCTTTGGAAATCCCTGCCTTAGTGTGGACTGCGGAAAGGTGGCAGTTAGTGGGGTGAGTCGTGTTATCGAACACTGTTCTTGAATCAGTAGCACACAAAGATATGGCTTTGATTGTGCTGCAATGAAGGTGGCTGGTCACTGGTGCTTGTTTCACATCTTTTAATGCCGGTCGCAATGCGTTCTTGTGATCGCAGTATATTTGTGTGATTTCCATGTCTGTCGGCCTGTTTTAGTGAATAGGCCAGTATGTTGCAACTGTTGGAGTTGCTTTGCATTTGACTGTATATTAATGCAATTTCCTGGTTATTGTGGAAGCCTGCATGTCTGTTGCAGACTTGGCAAACGTTTGCTTTGCTGCGAAAACCAGATTTGTCTGCATTTCAGACCAACAGACTCACCAGAAGCATGAACTTTGTGGCAGACTCAAGTTTGACTTCCAAACCTGAGCAAAACTGGAGAGTGTGTAATGTTCTGGGGTTTTGGACTTTGCCACACACTTTGTTTCAGCCGCACCGCAACCAACTGCATGGCCGCTGGCTTGCTTGCCAAGAGCGGCAGTATTCTGCACCCTCCTCAGGGCTATTGCCAAGCGTTTGCTTTGGGGTGTCATTGGTGAAGCATTGCACTGTCTGTCAGGTCAAGAAAGAGCATCGCCATGGGAAGCACTGCAACAAGGAGAGGATCAGGGGTGTAACAGAAACTTCTGCAGACCGTACCATGTTTTGGAATGCACAAGAGAAGCAGGACGTGTCTGTTGCCAGTTATTTTGCAAAGGCGTACAGGAAGCTCGATTACCCCAATTTGCCATGCATTGACGTTGGCAACGACAAGAGGCAGATCTTGCTTCCTGCAGAAGTGTGCACGTAAGAACGATGCCTATCTAGTTGTTATTCGTTTCCAGTTCTCTCCCAGGAATGTTGCTGGGCATGCAGCCTTCCTGTTGCATTGCTCGTCACAAGCATGTGATCCTGTTTCAGGTGCAAATTGCACCCTCGTCCCTCATGTTGCCTGCAGGCACTTGGCCTTCCGTGTTGGTAAATGCCATGGAATGCATTTGCCTTTTGTCACATGACAAACTAAGCCTTTGCACCTGATAGGCCTGGACAATGATTGTCTCTTGTAGCAGACAGTTAACTTGTTTGGATCATGGGGGGCTGTCCAACACCCTGCTGAAAGACGGTGGGCATTGACGGTATTGTCCTTTGTGTCGTTGGAATGATGTCACAGATATTGTCAGCTGTGCTTTTGTCTCAACAAAAGTTACTTTGGAAATACCCCCTGGCGAATGTGCATATGTGCTGGGCACTGCCTGGGAAATGCGAGGGAGTTTACTTGCTCAGAGTTGGGAGTGCAATCAGGGCGGATGTCTGCAAGTGTTGTGCAGCACAATATCACTTTGCTTGGTCAGCAGGCATGCTGGGAGACTGGTGCTAGCCATGGATGGGCAAATATGGTTACTTGCAATATGATAACGGAAACAAGCGCCATAATCCAGCATGTTGAGCAGTTAACTGGTTTGGGTGGTGATGGACATTCCTGTTTGTTTGAGCTTCAATTCGCAACTGTGGTTCAATTCACGACTGGTTGTAAGTGCAGAGAATACGCTGTAATTTTCCAGTTGGGAGAAAAACAGCACCTGCATGGTGGGGATGGCAGCCCGCATGTATGTGTTTGCCAAAATCGTATGTGATGCGATGCTAAAAGGGAACTCGCACGCCTAGGATAATTCCTGGCCAGCGTCGCAAGAAGTTAGATGAGGGACAGACAGCGTCAATGATCAAGATGGCTGCCCAGAACCCAGCGAGCCGGAAGCAGCACATCGAATACAGTGTTGCAAACCACGCTCGCTTGGTGAACGACCCATGCGCCAAGGCATTCCGGATGAAAATTAATCCCAAGATGCTGGAGGTCAGGCTTGACAGAACAAAAGGGAAAGCGCATGTGCTGTGATGAATTCCGTACAAAGCTGCTTGCTTTTATTTGTCTTAGTAGGGCGAAGTATTGCCCTGCACCTTGTAGGCACTGCTTGCCATGTCTGCATTTTTTTGTGTACCCCAATGGCTCAAAACATCCTCACCATTAGCAGCCAGCACACAAAGCTGCAGTGGGAAGAATGGAAAGACTGGATTTTTTCTCTGTATATGTGGGAATTAGGCATGGCTCTGCAAGCACACCATAGTTCACAGATTTGCAATTCGTAGAGATCGTCCAAGTATGCCAACATTGTGGAGGTCTGTGCCTGAGCCAGTCTGCCTGAGCCATGCTTAGCACTATTATTTCGCTGTTTCTTCAGCTGTTCTTTTCTTCCATTGATTGCCCCCTCCCCCACCCATTTGATCCAAATGCTCTTGTGCGACACTGCTGAACCGTTTTCTGTTTCATTTCCTTTGTAGCTTCAAGCGCGCGTGCTGCCACAGCCAAGGCTACAGTATGGCTACCCCCAGTGCATGAATGTTGGGACACAAGGCTCGTGGAACCTGAAGGACACCAAGTTTCTGGCTGGTGTCCAGATCGCGTCATGGGCCATGGTCAACTTGGTTGGCAGAGAAGTGGTCAACCAAGAGGGCCCCACAGGTAAAAATTGTCTATTTCTGGAGAAGAGTTGAGTTGCGCAAAGGACACCCATCCCAGAATCCAGAGGTTTTGTCAAATAATTGCCATGTGCCATAGAAGCTGATACAAAAGTCTATGAGAGCAGTATGAATAAAACCTTTCACCTGAATCTATTACTACCTCTGTTACAAAGATCTTGTCTGTCATACAATCTTGATAAACTTTGCAAGATCAACTTACCTAGACAATCTGCCACCAACTTCGGATTTCTTATCGAGTTTCGGTTTACATGGATCTTGGTTATATTAGTCAGCACCACGCAACAAAAACATAATAGATTTGTCATAAGTGTCCCTGTTTGCTTGTGCCGGGCCCTCATTGCTCAACTGTTTTGTCTTTGCCTTATCCTGGTGTGTTCCAATCCAATTTCCCAAAATTCTTCAAGAACCTTGTTGAAGACAACAAATGACCATCACTGCACCCTTTCAAGAGTTTCGGCATCATTGTTTCCATACTCTTTGTGGACGATCCCTTCCATGCTGATTTGTGTTCCCAAAATTATTGATTTTGTACGATTGGCCGTATTGGCCGCAACCTAGACCGTCCTTTCGGTTAGCACTGCCATGCGCGATCTTCCAGACCTTTGCACATCTACCAGGTTCATGCTCTTGTACAGATCAAGTTGTACCTTGTCCGTTGGCCTCAAAATTCGCAGAGCACTTTTCAACGCCCCAATTTTTGCGACAAGCCCCCAACCCTTGCGTTGTAGATTCTGTTTGGAATCTAGCAGCATCTTTGTGCATACCAAATCTTCAAGTCATGCATCTCTACTAGGTAACTCAGCTCGATCCACTTCTATCACGGGGCAAGACAAGCGTGCAGTGTCCCGGATTGGGTTCCTATGCGAAGAAAAATGCCGTTTCAGCTCCTCTTTACACATTGTGAGAAGTTCAATGCTGTTTGCTACGTTTGAGGGCCCTATGGGTAGCTCCCAGGAATGTGCATCAAGTGGTTTCAGCCAATTTTTTTGGCTCACGCGTTTTGACCTTGGTTTGGACCAATTGGATAAAGGACAAGACTTTTGTAACGGAGGTAGTGTGTTTCTTGACGGCAGAATGCAGTACAGGGCCCTGCACCTCAGGGGCAGTGACAGGCATAAACAGAGCACTAGTGTTAGTTTTTTCCACAATCGGTCTATTCTCCATTGTTTATCACTATTTTGCTGCACAGTAATTTTATACTCCATTTCTTATCACTACTTTTATATTTTTATACTCCATTATACTTTCCATGTATTCTTTGCTGCTGTCGCTGTTGGCACGGCTTGCAATTGACCCACCAAAATTTGTGACCGCAAGTAGTGCTAAGCAGGACTATATATTAGCGTTGTGAGCTATTTGCTGAAGCTGTAAGCTCTCCATTTGGTTGAATTGGGGTCAGGGTACCCTTACTATTGGTGAGTTTGCGCCTTTCAGAGAAAGGGCTACAGTTAACTGGATTGTGCATGGCAGCATTAGCAGAAGGAAAGTTGTCACTCAAGCAAGTTAACAATGGCAGGTGCAAAAGTCTAACAACACAGATACACCATCAGTTGATTCATCAGTTGATTCACCTATGTGTGTTGCACTTATGCCAACCACTCCTGTGGTTGCCTGCGACTGTGGCTGATATTGGGGAATTTTGATGTTGTCCAGGTCTCAAGGGTTTCATGGGCGACCTCATTGATATGCTGAAAAAGAGTGGCCTGTCAGTCGTTGGCTGGCCTGCACTGGTGACTGCAGACAAGCAACAGGGCATCGAAAGAAACATGAGGGAAGCCCATAACATGGCCAGTGGCCAGTTCAAGGTTCCGCCTCAACTCATCTTGGTCTTGCTGCCAACCACAGGTGTGCACATTGGGCTGTGCTCAGCCTTGTGCTAATTCGTCAGTTGGCTGTTCAGTCATGGCACCAGTTGTATTGAACGGGACTGAAATGACACGGCAAACTGACATGCCATCTTCCTTCCTGCACATGCCAGTTGACAGCAAGACATCTATTGTGCTGATGAGGTCAAACTGAGGCAGCAAACATGCCATCCTTTCTATCACCATGCTTTGCACTTTTCAGTAGCCCCAGCAGGCAGCAGCAACAGTTATGCTGCTTGGATGCGAAAGGCCAGTGGGCTTGTTACCTGCCCCAACAAAAGTACTCGCAGTCCAAGAACGACCTTGAATTGCAGGAGCAGCCACATGCATATACATGCAATGTGGGTGGTATCTCTAAGTTAAGAACCTATCTGAAGGTCCAGAGTATCAGGCAGAGACACCATCACAACCAGGGGCAAGTCTGCCCACCACAGGAGATTGCCTGGCATCACCTGCAAGGGGCAAGGGCCCCGTTTACCAGCCGAAGGCGAAACTAAGCCCCTGGCGTTTAGCAACATTTTTCAGGCGTGGGAACCCCTTGTGCCACGAATGCAGCATTTTTCCAAGCAACAAGTGCTGTTTCACTGCGCAGTTCAGTGTCTTGCTTTCATGTTTTTGAAGTGAGAAACGTGCAAGGGAATGTTATGTCATGTTGCGGCAAGTCACACGGGCGGTTTGCTTTGCTTAGGGGCCGAAGACTACAAAGAAGTGAAGCGCATCTCAGATAGTGTCCTTGGCGTGCCCTCGCAGTGCCTTGTGAAGACAAAGGCCGGAATCGGCGGATACGGTCCACCGCGAGGCCGGCCCCAGTACTGCGCCAATCTGGCCATGAAGATTAACCAGAAACTGGGGGGCGTTAACTGCAAGATCGTGGGGGGTCCAAACGTCGGGTTGCCCATCATTGGGCAGAAGCCCTTTATTATCTTCGGTGCAGACGTTACACATCCGACATCCTTCAACGAAAGTGAACCGTCTGTCGCGGCTGTTGTTGCAAGCATGGACAGGTGCACAGTAAACGCATGCAAACGAGTAGTGCAGTGATGCCCCGGTTGCTTTCGTCTGCCAAAAATGACAAGGCACAGCCTGTTCCACGCATCTGACAGTGTTTTTCTTGCGGCAAGTGCTGTTGCATGCCCTCCTGCTGTGCTTGGGACTCCTGCATCGTCCATAGCTTGAAAAGGGTCTTGCCGAACAGTTTCTCGGGACGGTTTTAGGCCTTTGTGCGGCAGGTGTTCCGCTTTGCTACGGCAACAATGTTTGGGGGGCCTCAAGACGTGCTGCAGCCACTACTGCAGTGAAACCATCGCGGTGTGCTGAATTCCCAAAAGCGGGTGTGCAATGGTCTCCAAGTCCTTGTGTTGCTCTTAACAGTTCTGTCGGTGTTTGCCTTTGGTTGCGTCAGGTATGTGTCGCATTTCGCTTCGAGGGTTAGGGTACAGAAACACCGGCAGGAGGTCATCGCAGATCTTAAAGGCATAGTAAAGGAGCTGATGATCCAATTCTACCAGACCACAGGCCAAAAGAAACCCGAGCGGATTGTGTTCTACCGTGATGGTGTCTCTGAAGGCCAGTTCCAAGAGGTCTTGAATTACGAGTACGAGCAGATTCGCGAGGTGAGCCTTGCTTGGATTCTGAAGCGGTGGTGCCCAATGTTCGTGCTGCTGTGCCAATGCAGTCTTGTTGCATTATCGTCCAATATTTGGGCATTGCACCGCAGAGCGAGCGCTCCACCTTCTTGCAGCAGGCATCGATGCTGGCCAGTCAGGACGTCCCTGGTATTCGCAATCGCATGCTCAGGCGCAGATAGGGCCATGAATGGCATTTTGCAAATTCAAACTGCTCGTCTGAGCCTCATTGCTGACGCGAGTCCAGTGCATTGAATTCGCGCTGGCGGCTGTGTTCTACAGGCCTGCGGGGAGCTCGGGGACAATGGGGCTGACTACTGCCCGCCCATAACTTTCGTAATCGTGCAGAAGCGGCACCACACACGTCTCTTCCCTGTAGACGACAACAAGGACAGGTCTGGCAACGTCCTGCCTGGGACGGTCATCGACATGGGGATCACGTCATCATTCGAGTTCGATTTCTTCTTGAATAGCCACGCTGGCATACAGGGCACCAGCCGACCTGCACATTACCATGTGCTAGTGGACGAAAACAAGCTGGGAGCTGATGCCATGCAGCTGATGACCTACTGGCTGTGCTACTTGTACTGCCGATGCACAAGGCGAGTATACCTCATGATGCGGTGGTGTTGTAATGAGCTCCCTGTAACACATCTTCCATGGCAGGAAACAGCCCCTGATATGAGTGGCGACGACGTCCATTTACAGGCTCAGCACTCTACACGTTCGAGGTGCTGGAACCCATGCATTCCGCGCATTTATGCTTAGATGAGGACTGACGCTGTTTCAAGGATTGTAGACGGCCAATTATCAGCTGAACAGTGTCGGTCCACGAAAGGCATCCACTCAGATCCTCTGAAATCGAGGGCTGAATCCTCTTGCCTCATAGACGAACGAGTGGTCAACTAGCAGGAAACCAGTGTCTTGGTTTCCGGGAGTCCTGCGATGTCACATATATTGAAATAGGGACCACCCGACGTCCAACTATGCGTCGAGCCACGGGGTACATCCTTCGAGGCGTTCCGAGGCCAGATACCAACAATTTGTGCCAGACAGTGAGCCCAGAGACATCCAGAGACAATGACAGGACCTGTCCGGGGTTAGTTCGACCTCTTGTCTGAAACCAGACGTGGATCTGCTCATTCATGCTGTTGTTTGCCCCCACACAGTTCATGATGCTGCCACCAGACGGTCCTGTGGCATCTTCTGATCACTCTAGGGAGGTGAACTTTTAGAATCGAACGCAGTGAGCACACATGACAGCTCGTTCAGCGCGCGGTGGCGCCTTATGTTATATCTTCCCCTCTTCGTGCTCGTAAGGTCTGTTCAACGTGACCCCTGGCTAGAGTGGTTTGCTTGCTTTCTTCTCGTACTGTGCATGGAATAGCGGCCCCCCCGTGCAATGTACAGCGCGGTGTCTACAGAGACTCGCAGTCCGTCACAGTCATGAGTGACCCTGCCAATGAAGTGGTCGTCATCGTTGACTGTCACGACCATACAGCCCGCCTTTGTGTAGTGAACGCATTGAACCTAGCGCCCTAGCTGCGATTGGCCTCCTCGCTGCCGCCTCTTTCATTTCATAAAAGCCTTGCTGGTGTTGCACTGCTCGGACGATGCAGGGGAGTGCCGGCTGCCTCTTGGCATTACATGCGAAGTTCCGCGACTGACTACCAGTCAGTTAAACTGATTGTCTGGCTGGCTGGCTGGCTGACCGACGGATGGGCCAATCAATTGATTGACACCTTTGCTTTGCCGCTGTTCTCCAGGAGCGTGTCTTACTGCCCTCCCGCCTATTATGCGCACCTGGCGGCCTTCCGCGGAAAGATGATGGTCAGCCACAGCGACTCCGAGTCGGAGACGGTGAGCAGCTCCCACAGGTCGGCGGAGCCCAGGTCCGCGATGTCCGCGATACACCCCAACTTGAATGGGACCATGTTTTACGTATAGAGAAAAAGAATAGATAACATGTCGAGCGAGGCGCACTGCACTCAAGATAGATACGAGATTCGTGTCATATTCTCACATCTGAGAAAATCGAAATCGAGAGAAATAGGAATGGACGCCCGTCAATAAGCGACCTGTAATGGAGGCATCCCTCGTTAGTGAGAGTGACAATGGGCCGCAAGCCATCTCTTCCGTGCTTTAAGTCACGTTGGAGGCAGACTGATAGGCTTGCTATGGGAAGACAAATTGTTCTTTTGCCTCATGCCACGCCCGGTGGTTGGTGCGACTGATGTCTGCGCACACCCCGCTGTCAGTACAGGCAGGTCCTGGATTGCACGGAACGAGGGCTTTCCTGATGTCCAGCTGCACCCAGCACACTTGTTTGCGGGCATGGAACAAAGCATGGTCCTGCCAATCAGGTATCGGAGGGAAGTGGTGCCAAAGATGATATTGTGGTGGGCCACACCTGGGCAATTCTGTCGCGCTTATTGTCCGGCGGACGATGAGTTCGGCCGCCCGCGTTACCCTTGTTCTCTTTGTCATAAAGCGTATGATCAGTTCTGCGGATTATGCGTGGTCAGAAAACAAAAACAACGACAAAGACTTTCCACCTTGAAGGTGATAACGGGCACAGAAACTTCCAAGCAATCTGACGTTGAACGTGACAGAATCGCCCTCAGTGTCGCTATCTAAAATGGAAAACATGCCATACAATATAGCGCCCCCCGCCCCCCACCCCCCCCAGGCGAGGAGGTGAATGTGAGACTCCATGCAAGCAAAGAAAAACAAGTGGAAATCTCCCAAGTGCAACATGCAAGTGCAAGGGTGCGGATGCCCGCTTCCAATCTTCGCTGACTGGTGGTCGCGAATGAATGTGATCATCTAGCAGAGATTCTACCGGACATTCCCTCTGCAAACATGCTACCCCGCCGCAGGCTTATGGAGAGTGAATCGTGGTGTCTGAAGATGCGCAATTCGAGGCATTTGGCAGTTCCACAATCGATCAGCAAGTCGCACTCGGTGGAGCCATCAGTACGTCCCTGAGCCATGCAGGCATTGAGAACGCTCTTCCACACACACACACACACACACAAAAAACACACTCCTGCACTTGGGGTTCTACCACATCTGTGCTCAGTGTGCGTGATGGGAGCTGGTATGAACAAATGCGGGAAAAACACTTCCTCGCTCGTGCAAGTGCCTGTTGCCGCCATCAAGATGCAAGGGCTCTGTTCGGCCATTCGAACGCAATTGTACTTCAAGGCTTTTCACTGCATCTGCGCTCAGCCGGCATGCTGCAGGCTGCCTCCTGGGCTCGACGGACACAACAGCACCCCCGATCAGTAGGATGTTCCCAGTTGCGTTCTTGACCCGCAAAATCCCATACGATGCCTCAAACGCGGTTTAACGCGCCTGCCAATTCAAAAGACGTCACTGCAACCCTGCCGCCTTGCGCTGCTGTGAATCTATAGCATCGCGACAATGAGCACAACAGCTCATGCAAGTGGGGCACAGCGACCCATCAACACAGCCGTGAACGGGGAACGACCGCTGCCAGGATTGCTGCAAGACAGAGCGCCTGCTCTTTCCGCACGGCAGGGACATCCATGCCTCGTCGTGGTATAGTGCGCCTAGTAGTAGTCGTCACCCTCTTCGTCGCTGTCCGAGGCAGAGACGCCCTCGAGTTCCGCCTGCTTGCGTTGGCGCGCTTTCCGTGCCCTCCTCCTGGCCTCTTCCCTTTGCTGACGCTCGATCTCCTGGCAAGGCGGAAAAGCAGACGTCAGCGCGAGCTGCAGTTCGCGGATCAGATGCAATTTTGGCCCTCAAACCCAGCTCAGAAGAAGGATCCAGGCCGTTTGCTGAGCACGTCCCTGACAAGACGCTCTTGCATGCAACTGCAATCAACCCCTGTTGACAGGCTGGAATGGTTATATGTTTGTACGTCTTCGTTCCTACGGAGCATTTCCGTTGCGCTCAAGACATCAACAGGCCTAGCACTGCAAAAGCCCTTGCCACACCTTTCTCTCTTGCACCCTTCGTCGCTCTTCCTTCTGAGTTTCAAGATCGTATGGCCCGTACTGATCCCCCCTCACCCCATCTTCTTCGATGAGCTTATCGATCACAATAAGCTTGAAAAGAATCTGCAACCATCAAGACGGTGTGACAACGAATTCAAGCAACGCCTAAACGTTTGACCACTTGCAAAGCTACCCAACGGCCGCTGGGAGCAACCGAGTCCCTGAGGCACAGGATACACGTGCCAGTGCTGCAAAACATGACTAACAGTCTGTTGGGCAGAACGAGCGCAGGTCCAAGTTTCTCACACACACTGCTCTGTGCGCTCGTTTGTCTCACTCTCAGGGGCTTTTGCATCAGTTTTGTAGCACGTAAGAGTCCACAGACACAGTTCAAAGGAGAGAAAGCCCTCCTGCTGACAGGTTCCCCTCTTGTCGCGACGAATCTTCCACATGACTAAACATGGCCATGGCCGCTCTTTGAGGTCTCTGGACAGGGGTGCCACACTGCACGCTGCAATTGAGTTGTGCAACGTAAAACCACCTGCTCACTGGCCAGCAATTCACTCCGCCCAGCACAACACGCACTGAAGGAGCAACGCCAAAGTTGTTGCATGTGTCAATACACCACACGCGAGACAAACCTGGCCGAATGTGCCAGCCCATGCACCCAGCACTCACTTGTCCAATAAATAGCAATGGTATCAACAGGAATTTTCGAAGCAAGTTTCTCCTGCGGGGATTCCACTTGTAGCCCTCGCTGTGCCTCAATGCAAGGTCCACGGCGCGCTCGACAAGGTTTGGGACCCAGACACAGCCGTTGGGCAGTATCTGTTCATTCTCCGCATTCTTTCGACATCTTGAACTATTCTCAATCAAGGCATAGGGGATGGACGCTGCATCCTGAGCGCCAGCCCTCCTCATCGCCGCTCGAATGCCCGAAACACGTTTATTAACATACTCATCTGCAACATAGCACGATCACGAGGACGGTCGTCAGCGTCACGAATGGGGAATGCACTATGTGCCAAGTGCAACAGCTGCCATCTATATAATGGTGGGTGGTATGCGAAAATGGAATGAATGAGCAAACAAATGTTTCAAACGTGTCTGTGCCCATTCGCTGCCTGCAGAGCACGAGGGCCCCCCTTTGCCCTGTGAAGGCCTGTCCTGCGCTTGTGAGAGGAAACACAAGGAATTTGGCACAACATCCATTGTTCAGCATCATTTCGCAGGTGCAAACGCGGAACTTTGAATAAAGTGACAAATGCAAAAATAAGCAGGTGATCCGATGTGCTGAGTTTGGCAGAACGACTTCAGGAATGGAACAGGGCTATTCCTATCATAAGCAGCTGACCATGCGACGTTGCGACCTTGCCCTATTGCTGCTCATGCATGCGACTCCTGCTCTGATCAATTCGGTTTCAACTGCTCTACCTCCTACGCTCAGAGGCTTCCAAATCGCGACTTGCAGAAAACAAAGGATCCCATGGGGAGGGGAGTCATCATGTGACAACATGTGACTTGGCAATCTAAGGGATTTTGTGAATCATTGGCACATGCACAGCATGGCACTGAAAGACACACCATTAGCTTGTGCTGCACTTCCACTTGTGAATGAATGATGAATCCACTCACACCGCATTTACCAATTGCTGTTCAAGGCAACAAAGGGTAAAGGACTAATGCGAGCATGTCCTGCTGACTGTACCACCCGTGTGTCCTGTTGTGACTCCCTACCATATGATGAGTATGGTGATGGGTTGCGAACCTCACTCCGCGTCAACCCGATGAGCAAGTGTTTCCAAATCTGGGGTCCAAAGGTCTTCGTGATGCCTTCAAACACCTGCAATACATTGACAGGTAGCAAGACTCGAAAACAAATGGCACACATACCACCACACACCACTCCATCGGCTGCACAAGGGACTTTCTGCCCTGAGATCTTGCTGCCCCACTCAAGCGTTTTCTCCAGGACAGAAATTGTCCAGTTCGCCAGTCAGCTGGCCTTGTAGCTGGGAACTACCATATTCCTCAGAAGGTTCCAAACTGAAGTACATGACAGGTGGCTGCTCAGAGAGCAAACGACATGTCTCATCAACACCCTTTGCTGGCGAGCGGCTAATGAACATTCGAACTGACGACCACAGGTCTGGGCAATTGATGCCTGCCATCTTCCCACAAACACAAAGCTACCTCATGGTCCAAGTCTTCGACCTGCGGCATGTCCATCCGGTCCACATACAAGACAACGTCGATTGGCCGACGAGTGCGTAATGAACATGACGTCTGGACAGCAAATGAAATTTGCCGCAGTGCCTGAATGCACCACAAAGGTTCGCTCGACCAAAGTGCCCCTACCACAACAAAAACTTGAATGAAAGCAGAAGGCCTGCCAATGTGCACGGGAGACCATCGCAAATGCAAACAGAACAGAGTTCTGGGGAAACGTGCCACTACTTGCATTGCTGAAGTGCTGGACCAGCGAGTGGACCTGTGACTGCAGTAGTGACCAGCCACAGGGCCAGTGACTGGCAGCAGGAACAGCAGCACACTTGTGAAGGACTCCAGACACGCAGTTTGTGAATCAATCTGTTGCCACAACAGTCCAGGTGCAATGCACCTCGCTCCACCAATTCGTGCTTGCATGCACTCAGGCTTCCACCCATCAGCACATGGATGCTGGGCGTTCCAGTTCACTTCAGCATCAAGCTCTCGAGCCAAACGTCATGGGCTGACAACTGGAATCTATCTCCATGTAGCACGGGGATGGATAACCAAAGGTGGTGATATCAATTGTCCCAAATGGCCTTGTGGCTGTATGGGCAATGTTTTGTTGTTCCAGGAAGAACCCAATCTGGCACAATTCTGCAGATCACCAGGATCTGCACGGTAGTTTCACTGGTGAGCAACATCCCAAGAACCTCTGGATGGTCACATGCTTGTCATCGCCTCCATTTCTCCCTCACAGCCTTGAATGAACAAGGAACAAACAAATCCTCTGCAAGTGCATGCACCCACTTGGCCCACTTGGTGGAAGGGCAGCACATCACAATACGTTGGCAAATGCAATCAAAGGGTGCTACCCATTTCCCTCAGGCATTCAACGCACCGTGTCGCTGACTGAATCACTCTCCACAAGGCCAACAGAGTCGATAATGGTCACTACCACCCCAACCTTCCTCTTGGAGATGGTGTTGGGTTGGTGAGGCATGTAGTTTAGGAAGTTGAATGGTGCCACTGTGAACATGCGACTGCCAAACAGGGAGTTGGCAGTGCTGCTCTTGCCAGCACCGGTTCGCCCTAAAACAAACGACACGAAAAGCGAATCAGCTGCAGTCACTGAATGAGCAGCACAATCGAGCATTGCGCCAAACTGTCATTGCTTGTGCTATGCGGGCAGCAGTGCGGAAGCGTAGACATTCGCCACATACTTGTCTCTTCAACATGCGAACAACACTGCTGCACAGGGATAAAGTCCCCATCAACTTTCTTTCAGCAACATATTCCTGCGGAAAACTCTATGCCTCTGCCCAAAGTACCCGATTCAGACACTACAGGAATTGCAAGTTTTGTGGGAACCTGACTGGAGAGTAAACAGGGAAGATCATGCAGGGAAACAATAAAAGATGTGTATCAGAGAGGTCCCAAAGCCTCACCAAGGAGCAGTATTGTCAAGTTCCTTCTGTTGTTGTTGGCCAGCCGCATCAAGGCTGCCTGTATGCGCTGTGACGTGTGCACCTGCAACAAAGCCACCCAACTCTGATTTTGACAGAGCCGGCCACAACTGCATTCCTCATTCTTACACTCTGGCAGCAAACACTGGTAAACATGACCAGCGCCAGCTATCTACTCAGAGGCCAGTGTGGTCAGTACAGTGGAAGGCACTGGTTGCCCGGGTAACAACCATTGTTGTTACAGTAGATTTCGCTTTCCACCATTCTCTGGCACATGAATGCCTTCATAGCCTATCATTTTCTGGGAAGGTCGAATTCACAGATCATGTCTATCATGGCTGTGAAACTCCAGCCTTAACCATTGCCTGGCCTTTGGCCCATGGATGTATGCCAACCAAGGGTCTCCAGCACATTCAATCACATGCCCATACCAAGACTGGACAATGCTGAACAACAAGACAACCTCGCAGATCCTCCAGAATCAAGGAATTCAACCTAACACATGTAGTGCAACATTGTGGTCAAGTCAATTCATAACACTATTCACTGGTCACCATGGAAGAACCGAGACAATGTCAAATTCTAGCTGTCCTTAAGCTCTCTCACTAAGAATGGGCAGTTTCCCTGAGGACCAGCCCTGTCCATCTGGCACTGGGAAGGGGAAAAAGGCCCAGAATGCACTGCATGTCAAGACAGGTATCTCCTGCATGGTAAGCGGGCCTCACCGGGTGGTTCTCCAAACTGACCCACTCCGGAATTTCTGCATCTGGCGTTGAAGACCCTGCAAAACAACGCGCACAACGAATGTCAAGCCAGGCTCACACAGCAGAGATTCCACCAAACAGTGCACAATCCAACAATGGCGCCCTTCAAGAGCACCCATCTTGGAAGCCGCAGGGCGCTCTCAGCAAACCAGCCCAACCATGCAACGCACAAACAACGAATCAGGAATCTGCATCCATGCGCACACACCACCACTGCAGCCAAAAGCCCTCCGGTGCGTGCCCCAGCCTCCAAATCGCCAACAGCGGTGTTCCAACAGCGCGGGGGTCCCCAGTTCGCCGCAACTTCCCCTCGCTCAGCGCCGCGTGGTCGCGTGTCGCCGCGCTCCCGCGTGAGCCGCCCTGCAGCCCCCCCATCTCCCCTCTGTCCATTCAACGCCCGTGGTCCCAATGCTTCCCAACGGGGGCCGACTCATCCCCACTGCGCCCCCCCCCGCCCCCCTTACCCCACCCAGAATGGCTCCCCGACAAAGGGGCTCCCTCGCATCCCCCTCGCCGTTCCACTCCCCGCATCTTAGCCGCACCCCACCCCACCCCACGGCCCCCCGACGTCCCTGCCCCCCCACTATCGCCCACCATGATCCCCAAGTCGCCACACAGGGGGGCCCCAATCCCTCCCCACCGTTCCTGACTTCCCCTCCATCCTTCCCCCGCCAATCAACCCCGCCCCACCCCGCTTCCCTGCCCCCGCCGTCCCTCCCCCCTGACGCCCGGCCGCCGCCGACCCGCCCGCCTCGTCGCGCCGCAACAACCGATCAAAAAGCGAATCCGATCGATTGCATCACAATCCGCAGCGCGGCGGCGATCCCCGCCCACCTTGCCCCGCATCCCCGCCGCCCCCGTCGCTGTCGTCGTCCTCCTCCTCAAGGTCGCCACCCTCGCTGTCGACATCGTACCTGCCCTCCTCCCCCCCCTCGCTGTGCTCGTCGCCGCCGGTCACGGCGTCCCGGGATGCGCCGCCGGACGCCTCCGGCCCGCTCTTCACCGCGTCCATGGCCATGGCCGGGTGGCTGCGCCTTCGGCCTTTGTCGCCGAGGGCTTCTGGGTTGCAAGATCGGGGAGGAGTGCGCGGAAAGGCGCCGGCCGCGCGGGCCGATCTCCTCGCAAGCTGGCGCGGGGGGGGTGCGGCCAATGGGAGGCCGCCGGAGCGCGAAAATGTGGCCAATTGAGGAATGTGCTGGCGGGCGAAAGTCCGACTCAGATCCACATCTTCGCGATGCCGGCCTCGGCTTCGGGGCGGGGTACGGCGTTGCGTCGCCGTCTTTAATGTTTTCTACCAAAGCAGAAGACCGCAGAAGACATGTCAAACATATGAAAACTTTCGATATGTTTCTTCTGGCATGGGTGGAGCTGGAAATAATATTACTGCCTGCGCCAAATCGGTGACTGCTTGCACCAAGTCACGTGCACACTTTGTCCTAACCTCAGTTTTAGGGTTAGGTTTAGTTCAGGGTGAGTTTTAGGGTTAGGGTTAGGGTTAGGACAGGTTTAGGTTTAGTTTTTAGGGTTTAGGTTTTAGGTTAGGTTAGTTTTGACGGAGTTGGACATGATGTGCACGTGACTTGGTGCAAGAAGTCACCGTTTTCGTGCAAGCAGTCACCGATTTGATGCAGGGAGTAATTTTATGCCGTGGAGCCGTGTGCAGTCCGCGAAGGCGCTTCTGGGGCTTTGATCCGTTTTGACCTGCCGTTTCTGTTTTGATCTGGTTCCTGTTGCAAGATGTCGCCTCGATCTTTGTGAATGGGTGGGGTGTCGCGCCCGCCTCGGTGGGAGCGGTGCGGGCTGTTGCGAGTTCGGAAGAAGGGCAAGCTATTGAGCACTTGCAGTGAGTGGACAGACTCGCATTTCCTTGCCAAGGCATCCTGACATGCGGCGACGCTCATGCACACGCACACGCTGGAATCGCCAAAGAGTGCTTGCAAACAACTTCAAGCCGGATTGCCTGTTCACTCACAACCGCGACGAAGCTACGCAGCGATATGCATTACCCCGTTGGATAGCCCATCACTGCCCTCGCTGTTGTCATATATCCAACTGTGTATACACCATAGACCCTATACGCGTCCTCTTCACAGTGATACCTGTGCATATCCATCCATTCTGGCGCTTAGGGCACGCAGCGGCCGCACAACGATCGTGGCTGGTCTGTTCAGTTGCAAACAAATCTCGTCGCTGACTTTCAATGCGCAATCCCGCCATGCCTACATCAACAGAGGCGCTGGGGCCCTCCAGCCTACACAACAATCTGCAGTACAAGATATGGTGGTCCGTCGTACAAGTGTCCACCCAGGCCCGTTCCCTGGAACCCTTATGCTTGATGTCCCCTATGGCCCACAACCAACTGCTGGATCGTTCCAATTCGTGTTTCTGTCCACCGCCCTTTCGTTCCCGCAGTGCCGCCCTCACATGATCCCGTGGCGTACGTCGCCTCAACACAACACGGCGATGCCCACGTCCCAACTATCGTGCAGCGGCCGCCCACCCAAACCCACCCCTCCCCACAACACCCCCTCCGGACCCAGATAAACAATTCCATGATGAATTACAAAAATCCGGCTACGTCTTCCGCACCCCCAGACGAAGCCACGCGGGCCAGCCCCAGACGCTGAAAATGTTGCAACCCCTCCCGCAGCACAGCAGGTCTTCCAGAGTAATGCGTGCACCCCCCAACATCCTGGCACCCATTCCATGCGCCCACGTCCCTGCACCAACATACCCTGACAGCTGCCAAGCAACCCCGTCACGTCTCCATCAACCGCCAGCCACCTGGCCCCCCTGGCGGCACTGAACTTGCTCAGCCAAATCACAGCCAACGCAAATCCTTCAAAACTCGACGCAAAAATTAACAGCCATTCCCGCGCGCTGCCCCGGCAACCCAATCAAAGTCATTGCTACATCGACCCGTGTCTTCATTTCCTTCAGGTCCGTACCAACCATGGATCGCGAATCGAACAACGGCCGTGGCCGCCGCACAAGGGGCACCACCGCCATCAAACGTTTGCCCTCCCCCCTACGATGACAGCACTTCCAGACACAGCACTAACCTAAGCCACCGTTCAGCAACACCACGAACAGGGCCGCCACAGCCACCGCCACCATGACCATGGTCACCACAGACGTCTTCACTGCCTTCCAGACCGACTTTCGAGGCCGCGGGCGCAGTCGCAACTGCCCCTTCTTCACAGGCGAGCTCCTGGCGCTGCTGCGAGCGCACGACGCCATGGAGTCGTCGGACAGGTCAGAGACGGTGCTCTTGGAGCTTCTGGAGCTGGACGTGACCGTCGTCGTGCCAGAAGATCCGCTCTCCGAGGGGCTGGGCGCCCGAAGCCGTTTCAAGCCCGGGGTGGTGAGCGAATACGCCTCCGCCCACTTGCTGTGCGCCGAGGGCTTGGCGCCCACGGCCCGCACCCGCACTACGAAGGACGTCTCCGAAGGGAGGCTCCCCACCCTGCAGGAGCGTTCAGCCACCACCCGCCTCACCGCGGAGGTCCTCAGCTGGCCGCCCCTGCCCTTGCTGGGGCACACCTCCACCTCGAAGGTCGCGGCCGGAGTGCTGGCGCGATCGTCATGCTCCCAGGCGATGTCCAGGGCCGTCCCTTCACCATGGATTGCCCCGTCATTGTCCATGCTGGAGGTAACCGACAGGTTAGTGGGTGGCGTGGGAGGCGCGAGGGCCATGACGACTGGCATCGCCTCGCTCCAAGGTCCCGCACCAGCTGCGTTCACGGCCCTGACCCTCAATAGGTACTGCTGGCCGGCCGCCAGGCCAGTCACTTTGTGGTATGTGGAGTAGCCTGAGTAAACTTCCCTGAAGGCGCCCCCTGCCTCCGCTGCCTCCAGTCTGTGGCTCGCAAAAACGAAGGCCATCAGGTAATGCCAGGCAAACTCATTTTCCAGTCAAAATTGTGGGAGCAACTGGCAGGCAAGCAACCTTATCTAGAATATGAGTGATACTGACAGCACATGCCGTGAGTCAAGCCAACCCTGTGAGCACCTTGTGAGGTAGCAATGGGAGAAGTCATGTCAGGAAGAGAGGAATGCTAACTTGGTTTCAGGCAAAGACCAATGAGTCAGACACAGAGACCAGCACATCATGGAGGCAGCAATACCATAATCGTGGTCAGAGACAAGGGCACAGGCAAATTCAAATTCTGAAGGAATGTCTATCATTTATTTGCTGTTTCACTGCCATTGCTCTCGCGTGGCATGGGGACACTGGAGGAACGTCCCAAACCAACATACACCGCAGTTGTTGCTAATTCCCACGTAGCCAAGACTATCCCACAAGAACGATCGATGCAGGCGCACCAGACCCGAACAGTGTCGCAACTTTTTCTAGATTGTACAAAGTGCTACAGAAGCATTCACATGAGTGTTACCGCTGTGTCCCTGCTTCCTTTGTGAGCTACTTCCTTCGTGGCCTTAATTCGTGGTCTACTTCCCTTGCAGCATAACATGCGATCTGATAACATGTAGTTAGTTGTTCTTTCTTGCCAAGCATCGTGATGCCCTTGTAGGTAGCTATATATTCCTACCGGCCCTTTGGCTACAAAGGAATCTGCATATGGGTCAAACACGCACCTGTACTGCGTCACTGGGGCACCATTCTCCCTGTCTGGAGGTGCCCATTTCACACGCACAGATGTTGGGGTCCTCTGTGCAAAGGTGGGGCCCTCAGGTGCACCAGGAGGCGCTGCGGCAGTTTCCACCATTAAGGTCTCACTGGGAGGTCCAGCTCCACAGCCATTCACAGCACGCACACGAAACTGGTACTCACAACCATTCCGCAGGGGGGCCACCTGCAAAGGTGGCAAGCCAGCATCAGGTCACCTGTGCTGAATGAACGCAAACAGGGTGGCAATGCTGTCTGTCCATCAGTCGAGGGCATTGTTGATCACAGCCCTTTGTCACTTCCTTCTGGCAGCCTGGTCGTCAAAACATGAAACAGCGCCACTGTTTCACCTGTTGGGCACTGTGACTGGTTGCTGTCAACAGTTGCAGAAGGTGCTCCCTGACAAGTTTTCTGTTCCTACTCTTCACCGAATTACCCAGAACTGCCATGCATCAAAAAGGAAGGGAGCAAAGAACTCGTCAAATATCCTAAGGAGGAAAGGAGTGCAAGAAGGCTGTCCTGCTGCAGGAAAATGATGCCAAAGACCATAGATCTAAATCTGCCTTAATGGTCTCAGCCAAAGTGCATCGCTGGGTGGATGATCTTGACAGCAGAGCGCCAATACACAAGACTGCTGCGGTTAACACAAGTGGGACTCAAAACTGAACAATGAAGCACCTGACATACAAAATATCACGCCATTGCATGCTGTCACAATCGCCAGTGGATGCCTGGGGATGACATGTGAAGGTCAAGAAACCTATTGAAGAAAATCCATGCAACATTTCAATGCTGCAGTCATGCATCTGACTGGAATGTACGATTGCAAAAGGGCACAACAGCAGGGCTCTGTGCACAAGTGCATTGCCTGTCCACACCAACCAACAGGAAGATGCTAAGATATCCTTTGCCAATGTAGCACAACGTCAGCCAAGCCAACATCCCCGTGTTCAACAGAGGTTGATAACTCTTTAAGAAAAAACTGCTGGCTGGCTGTTGAACATTCTTCCACTGCTACGCATGTTATGGGTGCTCACAGTGTAGCTTGTGCTGGTGGCTTGCCCCTGGTATTCCTGCACCCAGGCGACCTTCTTGCTCCTTTGTGATAACCGCTCAAGTGCATACATGCAGACCTTGGAGCCGTTGTCACACAAGGGATGCTCCCAGCAGAGGTGCACGCTGTTTGTGGAGACCTCTGTCCACAGAAGACACAAACACAACATCTGTGTCACTAATTTCCTTAGTTTACATATGAAACACGATTACACATCACTAAAGCTTCACCTGCTGGGCACTGCCAGCCACATTGCGTCAGGCTGATGTCACTCACGATCTTTGTGGGAACATTGATTCCGAACAACGATAATTCCAGAAGCACCTGACAGCATATTGTGGGCACAAGGTAGCGAGTATTCGATGAGACCAATGGTTATCAATTAAATATCTCCCCACTGGCCAAATCCGTCCATGACTTACGCAAGCTGCCCAACACAGATGCAGCGAAGCACAGCAACATAGGAACATGCTTGAGGCCCAAGCAGCTATTGCTTCCTGTCTCTGCCATAGGAATAGCTGTGACAGGTATGCAAATCGCTCCCATGCCACAGCACTACCTGCCAGACAAGTAGAAACCAGCATGGCAATGCCGTCAGCTCTCAAACACCCACCTGTGGCCTGAAGGTTCCTTGGAGAAGAAGGGGCAGCTGCCTGTGTCTTGAACGCAACTGCCTTGCTCCATTGGCTGCTACCCGCCTTGTTGGATGCCCTCAGCCGTACCCTGTACGTTGTGCCGGCATGCAGCCCTGGCACCCTACATTGCACTTGACTTCCAGTATACACATCGCTGAAGTCCAAGGCCCCTCCATCGCAACTGCTACACATACCCCCAGCGGAGACTCCTGCCCCATGGTCCAAGAGTGGCTCTGCCTCGTTGCCTGCAAAGTGGGTATGAGATATTGAGTGTCATCCAAGCATAGCAATACAATGGTTCGAAGACAAAGTATGGGGAATGATGGCACTACGATTTGCACCGCAGGCAAGCCTTGTGTGCCTAGATGCCATCAATACCAAAAAAGGGGAAAAGTCCCCAGAGCAGAAGAGGGCCAACTGCAAAGAGCGCAGTTGCATGCCAATCTGTAAGATGTCAACCTGGCCAATGCCCTTTGCACTGCCCATGCAGAGCAACACCTGGACCACCAGCAGAGGCAAGTCGGTGCAAGGTGCACGACTAGGCCACTGCCAAACACTTGCCAAAAAGAAAGCCCGATGCAGAATGCGAGCCAAGGCAGACTCAACTGGCAGCACAACGCCTGCCCAAACGACAGCTGCAAGGATGCACTGCACTCCTCTTTCCACAGCCTGGAATGCATCCTCTGCTCACCAGAGCCCATGCCTTCGGTACTGCCAGCACATGCTTTCCTGTGCTCCTCATGGGACACAAAGCCATTGCAACGGCCACCCTCCTGTGCCAGCTGCACCGTGTAGCTGCTGACAGTCGATCCCCTGCCATCTGGAGGGATCCAACAGAGAGTCAGGCTATCACTGCTGGACTCGCGCACAGTGGGTGGTGTCGGAATGTCGGGCACGCCAGCCTTTGTAGTTCCCTTCGTCACTGTACTCCAACTGCTGGCACCACAGGCGTTAACCGCCTGAACCCGGAATGCATACTCCTTCCCAGGAAGCAGGCCACCTGCCTCCCAACTGCACAGGCTGCCATAGTAAACCCCCTTGAAGACAGAGGCACTGTCACTGGCAACCTTGCGAGCCTCGCAACACTGCAGCTGGTACCCCGTTATGTTCGAGCCACCATCGTGGGCAGGGGCTTTCCAGGACACTTTGAGGCTTGTTGAGCCAAGTGAGACAACGGTGGGCACAGGCACCTTGTCTGGGACCCCGGGCTCGCTGGTGAACTTGGTGCACTGTGATTTTGGGCCCCAACCTGCCGCATTGCTCGCCCGGACCCTGATCTGATAAGTGCACCCTGGTGTCAAACTGCCCACAGAGCAGGAGTGAGCCTGGCCGCTGTAGACAGTCGTCCATGTGGACTTTCCCGCAGGCCTGGACAAGGGCATTACCTCACCCTACAATGAACCCAGTACAGAAGTTCAACACACATGCCACAACCATTTGCCAAACACTCAATTGATGCAGTGGCGTCCTAGCAACTCAGTTATAGAGGTTGACACCAATCTGAAGGCTCGCCACAACACCCACTGCACAACACATGGTTTGTGACAGTGTCACTCCAGTGTGCACCTCGGCAACTGTGCTCAGACACCTGTAGGTGCGAGGTCGCGTCGACAGCCCTTCAACCGCGCATTAACTCCTTATGTGTTCCAAGCTAGGAGACGATTTTGCCTCAGTGCAGCCAGCTGCTTGCTGCCAACTATAAGCTGATCAGGACAGATGGGGGCTAAGGGTTGGTTACAGGCGCATCGAAATCAAGGTACCAGGCACGCTTCGAGTTGCAGTGGAGTAGTTACAGCTGTAATTGGATCGCCTGGCGGAGTTGCAACATCTCGGCAAAGCACTGTCATGGCAAAGCGCCCCACACAAGCAACCCTACCAAAGAGTCAAGCAGACTCTTAGAGTGATGGTTTGAAGAAGAGAGCAAACATGGCAAGAGGTTCAAGGGTGCATCAATGAAGTTCGGAACAGACAATCACTGTGTTCCGATGCGATCATAACGCTATGGTAGAAGCAGCATTCAGTGGGAACCTTGATTGACTGAGCCACAGTGTCAATTAACACAACAGTATCCCCCTTTGATATCTGGTGTTCCAAAAAGGTGACCACCATCTTCCAGTCTGCCTTACCTCTGGTTCCAGGTGGACAATGTTTCTCATAATGAGGGATGATATCCAGCCCGGGGGGGGGGGGGCACAGAATACTGATAAAATAACAGCATACTGATAAATTAACAGCATACTGATATAGAGTTATTTGGAGTTGGACCTCCACATAACATAACTAACAATGACAGCAACAAAGCTGGTGTCTGGGCAGCTCCATATCCTGCAATTGTTTGCGATTACGAACAGTCAAAACAACCCACCTCGTAGCAGCTGATTTCACTTCCTCCAGTGTACCTTGGAGGTGCCCAGGAGAATGAAGCTGATGTCTTGGTTGAACTCTGGCAAGATAGCATACGTGGAGGGCCAGGAGCACTGGGCGCAATGTGAACTATTGTTGTACCACTCCACTTGCTCTTGCCAGCCTGGATTCCAACACAACTGATCAAGGCCCACTAGGTACAGCCCCTGGTTGTGCTACAGGCCTTTCCTTCCGCACCCAGAGGCTTCTGCATCATCTTTAAGATGTCGAAACTCTTGCCCACAAAGGGGTGCCACAAGTGTGGCAAGGCTTCATTCTGTTTGGAAGCCTACTGTGGGTGCAAACCTTGTGAAAGGGCTCAATGCACTTATTAATCTTCTCAACATTTTGATGTGTTGCAAAAGAGGCACATTATCTGAATTGTCAGAAGTTCGCAAGTTCGCAAAACAGTGTAAAGATGTGTATCCCATAGATCATCATGTTTTTCAGCCAAAAAGAATGACTTCAAACACAGAAGCAAACATGCTCCACAATGGGACCCACAGTTCAAGTTTTGCTTCGCAGTTTGTGCAGCACAAGTCTGACATGCATACAGAGCAATGAGGATGACAACACAATATGACAGGCAGCTAATCAGCGTGGCTTGCACATGCCTGACCTCACTGTGCCAGACCAATATATCCATCTTTCATTCCACATGTTCCCTTGTTTTCTTGGGACTAATCTACAGATTGTTTGCAATCAATCACATCCATTGCCCAAAACTCACACCAACAATCGCAAACCTGAAGTCACACATGCACCTGTGCAACAGATATGACATCCCCACAGTAGTACCCAAACCCTGGATAACTGGTTTTCACAGTGTGAATGTGGTTCATCCACATGGCAGGGCAAGATAGGGGGGCCAGACAGCTTGCCACGCAAAATGCCACTGTGTCAGTACTTTTGAACTGTATGTACGCAGGTTCCACACCACAGTTGCAGTGGCTTAGTTTTCTCACCTGATTCTCTGCGCGAACCTTAAATCTGTAGGTGGCACCGCTCTGCATCCAAGCGCAATATGGCGAGTCAGATTCCCATGATTTCGGTGCCTCGACATTAAGTTAGGGCATGAATCCAAGAGCAAAGCGAGCAAAAGTCCAGACAAAGTGACCGATGGTGTACACCTAGTTGACCAAACTGAAATCAGAGGTCGCAGAATAGCCCAAGGACGATCTGGCTTTGGCAGCTGCAAGGCAATCAAGTTTAAATGAGTTCATGATTTAGATGCTCCATCAGCAGGACACATTCATTTTTGAAGAGATTTCAGAGCCAGTTTAGCTCCACCCATCGTCACAGAACTCCCATTGCTTGCACACGTTTCTGCAAGCGCACTGTGATACCCACCTCCAAATCAGAAATCGCACACTGCGGAGACTGTCCGCAGTAAACTGGTCGAAAGCAGTCATCCTCCTCGTTCCATGCTTCCAATGTGTACAAGTCTATCCTAGCCCCATTGTCTTTAGGAGCATCCCACTGTAGTGAGACAGATGCCTGCAGAAACAGCACAGCATTATGTGCTGCCAGGCCTGACATTTTGCCACATGGAACTGACATCGCCTTGCCAGAGCAAGGGCAATAATTTACTAAAGAAATCATTCCGCGAATAGCAATCCCTTCCGTGACAAGCTGGCTGAGGGGGCACTATTTTCGACTGATCGCTACATAGGGGATCGTTAAACTGGCACCCCAACTATTTGATAAAGGCAATCAACGATGATAGCAACCGCACATCACATGACAAATTCAACACCGCGCAAGGCACTGCACATACACATAGGATTTTGATGTGTACGATTAGGCATGTGCCAGTCAAGGTCCAAAACCCTGACTAGCACAGACCGAATCTCATACTGTGTTAGTGACATCACACTCTAGCTGCAAGCAACAAGCAAACCCAGAGGTGCCTGCACACTGGAATGCAATAACAAGGTTAAATGGTTAAATTTATCAACCAAATCACAAGTCAGATCCTGAAACACTGACAGCAAAGGCCACAGTGCCCGCAGCACTGTGGATGCAACCACCGCACCTGCAATTTGCAAACAATGATCTTCTAGATAATTGACACACCAATCAAAACAACACCCACAGAAGGTGGCCATGGAGCAAACTGCTTGCACACGACTCACTGATGCAAACCCTGTGATATCGCCAACAGGTGAATGCACATTGATTCTCCTGTGTGACAATGGCTATATTGCTATAAGAAAATGAAAGTTTCCTGTCCTTACTCAACAGCAATATGCCCTGTGTGCTGTGCATAATGGCAAACAGCATATTTTGTGAAATAAGGGACAGTGAAATGGGCACTGGCAGTGTCTTATTTCTGCCATGATGTGCTAGTTTGCAAGCGTAGTTTTCAATACATAAGTCTGGCTGCCTGCACAGCTGCAACGATGGGACAGAAGCAAAATTGCACCATCACAGTGAGAATGGGGATTCACACTTACCGAGGAGACATGGACCTGTCGGGGAGGCTCGGGCATTGCTGGCACTGATGCCTCTGTTGTGAAGACACTGTGCAAACTCCAGGGGCCCTCCCCTAGTTCGTTTCTGGCCTGCATCCACCACAGACAGCAAGTTTTGAGGCCCACATGCGCCTTGCAATTGCCACTACAACAATAGCACACCTTTTTTGTTACACATCAACTGCAGGCACAGGTCCTTTCGACTACTGCAGTACATTCAACCCTTACGCATTGTAAAGTAACACTGGCCATTTTATGCAGAGCACTAATACAAACATAATGGTGCCAAGAAAATGTGGAGCAACCCCAGCCGCAATGCAAGGTTCTCTGGACTGCTCGTGGCATCTAGCGGCCCCAGATGTACGAGTCGTTGTGGCAAAAACTGCCATTTAAGGCCATATGAACTGAGCAGAGTCGACATTCTGGCTGGGGCCATGATATTGAACCCCCCCCAATAACCGTCTGTCAACAAAATGCAAAGCAAAAACTGTAACGCTGAAATCTCAAAATGCAGAAGGGTTGAATATGCTACGGCAGGCTTAGTGGCAAGTTTGCACAACTCAAATCTAAGAAAGAAGAGACAGAAAGCAGAGAGCTATGCAAATGGCACTTCTTCACCATGCGTAACTAACCCAGATTGACAAAGCAACAAAGCACCCCTCCCTCATATTCGCCTTGAATCTCTCCATTTGCACAAGCTCACAAACTTGCCCCAGTCTGCCACCACATCCCAAGTGTTGAGGGGCAACTGGCCGGGGCTGCTGGAGCAGGGCTTAGACTACCAAAGATCTGATCATTGGGAGCAAGGGCACAAGGTGGGTGGCAGGCGCCAATAAAAGGCCACAGTGACCACAGTATCAAACCAGCACTTGGATCCTATCACACAGCTGTTGCCAGCTTTGGGACAACAAAGCTATGCATAATCAGAGGGATCCTGCATATGCGTAATCAGAGGGATCCTGCTGTTGCAACAGGTAGCAGTTTTGTCTCTACCGCTGACACGATGCGTTCATTATGTACCACTTTTGTAAGTCCCGCCATCTCTGAGTACCTCGCCAAACATGCATGGCAACATGGTGGCGCATGCCCAATTTAGAAAGTGGTGGGCTGCCCCGGGACGTGGACAGCACAACTGTTGGCCAAAGTGCAGCTCGTGAGAGCAATTAAACTCAAATGCAGAGAGCCCATGCAGTAAATCAAGAAGCCAGCAGCGGTTCTGCATTGTCTGGTGCACACATGGTGCACAGGCTGAGAGCACCACCTTCACTCGGGCAGTGTATTTGACGCCCGGAAGCAGCTTTGTTGCTCTGAAACTCCGCTGCAAGCCACAAAATATCTCTGCGAAGCCCTGCAAACACAAAAGGTTGCAATTTTGAGAAATAGTCACACTAAGGTTCTTTTTCGGTGCGATCGCACTGCTTTCAGACCCAAGCGATGAGTGCATGTTGTGCAACATTGCACTACGCACAGGAGGACACACAAGGGCCAATGAACTGGGGCACACTGGCTGCAAAGATTCCATAACAATGACATTGACAGAAATGCTAATCTAAATCGGCCATCTGTGTACTGCAGTACATTCCATCATTTCCAAGACTAGCTTTGAACCCACCGCCTCTTGCACCTCTTGTCTGATTTCTCCCCTATGAGTACTGCTAGCCACCATGGCTGACAAGATCTTGCCAAGTACACAGCATCCAAGTATCTTCAATCAGCACATTATGGTGTGCCCAACAGGTTCCCCATGGCAATGTGCTGCATTGCTCGACCAACGGCCCCTTCGCTATCTTCAGTCTACCAGCTCCCAGAGCACGCAAAAGGCTTGCAGTCAGGTTCGCTGTGGACTGGGTTATGTTTTTGGGATTGCATTCGCCCTTCCACAAATACGACAGCCCATGCCCAGCCGTCAGGGCACAGTCCCGCCAGGGAGCATCAAAACATCAACACGTAACTGCAGCTCCAGGACTGCCACAACGCCTTACAAACAAAAAAACGCCCCTTCCAAACTGTCCGGGCCCCCAGACATCCCAGTTGCCAAGTTCACGATCCTTTTCAGGGCCCAAAGGGGCAGGAACTCGCTGCGCGCAATCCACACGCCACGCCGCGCAGTACCTCTTCGTCCACGTCGTCCTTCGCAGTCGCAGGCGGCGGCCGGAGTTGCAGGCGGAAGTCGATGATGTTCAGGCCCCCGCTCTCAGGCACATTCCACTTGAACTGCGACACCACAAGATGCATCCCGTCAGACACCCCCTCCGCCGCGGCCGGCCTCCAACAGGCAGCAAGGCAACCAGCGCGTCCCTTCGCTGCAGCAGCCAATCCGCGACTCCGCCCCTGCACTCTGATCCACGCACCTCCCCGGGCATTCCCGAGAAAGGATGTTCGAATATCCGAACAGTCGTTCCGTTCCCGAATAAGGAATCAGCCGTCCACACCCGGTCGAGAATCGAAACGAAAGGCGGGCGGGACGCCCGCCTGGGCTTCGATCGCCCGCTTCTCGCACCTTCAGGCTGGTCCGCTCCCGGCTTGTCAGCTGGGGCGGCTGCGGCGCGCCCGGCGCGCTGGGCGTCGTGTGGAACACCGCGACCGCTGATGCCGCCGGCACCCACAGCCGCAGGCATGGCTCGTCGCAGCGCGGCGCCGCCGCGACGCGAATCGCGTAGTACCGTCCCGGCCGCAGGCCCCGAATCTGCGAAACAAGCCAATCAATCTGTCAGCAGACAGTACAGCCGGCCCGGCGCGAGGCATCCCTTGCTACGGGCAGGACGATTCGAATTTTCTCTGGCCGGCTCCCTCAGGCGACAGCGCCCGGTCGGCGGGCGCCCGACACGTCCGACGTGCCTCATCAGCCCCGTCCCGCGGGCAGCGGGGCTCCCTCACCTGCGCCCAGGAGTCCGCGGTCTGCGCGGCCGCACGCCACAGGTCGGAGTTGACGAGGGCCGCCGCCTCTTCCCCGTTGGGCGTCTCCCGGCCCGATGGCACGTCCACCTTGGAGCACACACACGGGCGCGCCGCGCCGCAGGGTCAGGACGCACACGCCGCGCGGCACGACGACGGCGGCAATCGGCCCACAGGACGCGCCAGCGTGGCACGGGGTATCGGCCTGGCACCCCACCGGAGGCGTCACCTGCTGCGTCTCCACCGTGTACCGCACGGCCAGGCCAGCCGGATCAGGCCCCTCCAAGCGCCGGCTCTTCCCCCATTGGATCGTCAGCTTGTTCGAGTCCTTGGCGATCAGCGACACGTCGGCCGGCGCGCAAAAGACCACCGGCGCCAATCCCGCCCCCTCCTCCCCGCCCTCCTCCGCGCCCTCCTCCGCGCCGGGTCCCCCTTTATTCCCTTCCTCGCATGCCTCCCCGCCGCCCGATGCCATTCCCCCGTTCTCGAGCGAGCATCCCGGCGTCCGCGCGACGCAATCATCGCCGCTGGCCCCCAACGCCGGGCGGCCCACCCGGGAATCGTCCTCCCGGATCCGCAGGCACTCCCCCACCCCGCCCTCGAAAATCGGCTTCTCGAGCCGCGTCAGCACGCCCACAGGGTCGGCACTGGTCCCCATGGCGATGTGCATCTAGGCGGCACTCATGCGCGCCGCGCCACCCCGCCCGCGCGCTAACTACGCCTCCGGCGGGGCCGATTGCCCCGCTCGAATCGCCAAGGTCGGGCCGCGCCGACAAGCGCCAGGCCCCGGGGAATGATCCGCAGAGCTCCGGTGGCGGACCGACGGGTCGGTGGGCTAAACGGCACCACGGCAGGGCGCCACAGAATGAAGGCCGTGAGGGGCTAAACTAGGCGGGTTGGCCAGCAGAGAGCCGGCGAAGGGGTTTTCCAGCGCAAGGTGGGCCACCGTCGCGGTGCCGGCTCCCCCGGGCCAGCGCCGGCTGTGGCAACGCGCTCCCACTGCGCCAACCGGGCCGCCTGTGGTCTGGGGCACCTGCGCCTGATACTCGGGAGCGGGCGCTCCACCTGTTAAGGGGAGGTCATGCAGAAAATCCGGGAGAAATTCTTCGGCCCCACGCAGCATCCCCCCGCCACGTCCGCGCGCCCGCCACGCGCACGCCCACGACGCACTCCTGTACTTAAGCCCGTGCTTACCCACTCAAAGATCACACTTTGCAAAAAAGGGGGCTGGCGTCAAAGGGCGTGCCACACCGTATCCGGGAAGATGCGGCGAAGCAGGCCGGGGAGAGTTAAAGCCCAACCCGCCAATGCGAGGCGCTCACAGGACACCCCCTGGTCTTGGTTTGGCGCAGCAGGGGCGCCCAGGTCGGGCTGCACCCCTTCGCAGTACGGCAGTCATGTACTGGGCGGCCAGCGCGGCAAATCCTGGCCTTCGGGCACAAGGAGCCGGCGACCAATGCCCCACGTCCGTAAACGAGAAAATATAAGTCCCGCTGTCTTTTCCCTGAAGATCCTTCTTCTTCCGCCCAAGCCAAGGCCGGTCAGTGGGTCAGTGGCTTTTAGGGGTTAGGATGTCTGAAACAGGAAGGGATCTTGACGGAAAAGTCATTGCGACTAATCGGGTGCCTCCGTGGACGCGCCATGTCGTGGCCCCCTCGCCTGTGGGGCGCTGTTGGCGGCAAGCAAAGTGGGTGCGGGGCTCCGAGCAACTCGAAGGGCGGCGGCGGCTGGGGAGTTGGGCCTGGCGACGCGCTGACTCAGTGAGGTTAGTGCGGGGTCTGCCTGCCGATGCGGGGGGGTGGCCATTTGCCGGCAGAGGGGCGGGAGGCGGGCGCGGGGGCGCCCGCCTGCGCCTTGGGGAGGTGCGGGGCGGACGGACGGAGTTGGGCCGTCCAGACCGCGCTGTGCCAATCTGGAAAGGACCGGCCGATTTGCAGGTAGCGGCCGGGCGGGTGAGCAGTCGCAGTACGTACCAGTTTTCGATCCGGTCAGTACACGGAGAGAAGAGAGAGTGTGCGGTACGTGCCTGGGGCGTCGCCGACGTGTGCAGGAGCCCTGTCGTGCCGGCCCGCCCATCCTCTCAGTGGGATCGCTGTCCTCAACAAGGCGTATAATGTGCCACACACAGCTCAATCAATCAATGCAGGCACACATGCACAAGAAGCAATGGAATTCAGGAATTTTCCGCATTTCTGATGTGGTTCCCGATCGATTCGAAACCCCCAGAATCGTCCGGAGGGCTTATTAAGCAGACACGACACCGCAGAGCATTTTCAGCAGCTGAATGCTGAGAGAATGTTGCGTCAAAGTCCAAAGTTGTCCTCGCTTCAGGCTCGCCCCCAAAAGCGCACTGCCAACGTTCGTGAATCTGCAAAAAGCAATGTTCGCTTCGAGGATTAACCGCCCCTATGCGCAGTTCTATATAGGCACTGGTCTGCATGGCTCCTCGGTCCTACCAACTTCAAAATATTGACACGTGGACTCCAGTGTTGTGCATAGTGATGGACAGAGAATGTCCATCATTCCCTGCTGAACAAAAAGCAACGAGAATGGAAAGGAGAACTAACAAGTCCCCGTTTAATTCTCGCTCAAATTCACAAGAGTTTTGCTGAGGGAAGGCCACTTTAGGAAACGGGTACCCATTTCCCACAGTTTCAATCTGTCATTACACCGCACTGCATTGCAACAGAACCGTGAACTGTGCGGCGACAACAGATCGAGTAGTGTCTTCGCGACCTCGTTCTTTGGCGCCATTGCTCGGCAGTTTCTGGCCCTGGATAGAGATTCTGCCGACGCGGTGCATGATGCAGGGATCTTCTGTTGCGCCATGATTTCGAGCAAATTAGACGAGGTGTCACGTAACTCCATATGGGAGGAGCACTGCAAGAAGGAAACGCGGCGGCTGACACTCAACACGCACTTCTCCATCAGCGACCCGAGGCGAAGTAGGTGTTGGATGCGCATCGACGTGGGCGCACGGCGCTGAGATCGTTCTACCGTCATAGCCCTCGAGAGAGTCACTTCGAAACTCATGATGCAGCAAGGGGAGAAGCGGGCTGCAATCTGCCGCTTTGGCTTCAGGGCGCGATGCCGTGGGCAGACATGAAGCCTTCGACCTTGGTGTCGAACATTGGCCGGAAAGGATGCAGCGAACAACATGGCATTGAGCATGCAATTGGTGTCTTCATTTTGCGAGCCGGGCGGGGGACGCATTCCATCGCATGAATTCACCGCCGTGATGTCGTGTGCCTCACAAATGCCGGCGTTGTTCGCGCCCCCCTAAACTTCCCTGCAGGTTGGCGTGCATTTATTGAAATAGTTCCTGAAACAACAAGGCCAGGGGGTTCAAATTAGCAAGTAAAACTTTGCGTTCAGCAGCCATTGATGCGCATGATCGTGGCATTTATACAGAGTTGACAGGTCGTTAAATATCAAGAAGAGGTAGCAGCGCGTCGGGGCTTGAGAAATTGCCGGCTCGTGCGTGCAAAATTGGTACCAACGCCCTGGCCAGCCAACAGTTTTGCGGGAACACGTTGATATACTGCTATGTACTACGTAGTACGTAGCGGGTTGGCATCGAGTTCAATAGGGCGCATAGAAATAGAAACAAATTACTGAAAGGAAACCAAACATGCGGCTGGCTACACTATGCACCTGCCATCGTTCAATAGGTGCAAGGACTTTGCTTCGTAATGCGCGAAAAATGAAATCCGAGTCATTCAACGCCCTCCGCATGTTTCATCTGTTGATGCAGTGGCCATTCTTCCTGAGAAGCCAAACCGTGTCATTCCCGCGCCCAACCCCGACCCCTCCACAGTCTTGTCGGCAAGCAGGGAGCTGCACGACCTGTGCAATGTCAAGGACATTGACAAACTCCCGCCGGACAAGTACCCCCTTCCCATAACAGGCAACCAAGAGTACGGCTTCTTTCGACAAACTCTGGTACGAATGCCGATAAGACAACTTGCGACGGCTAATGCTGTGTCATCAATATACAACATGGGAACTTTATCAACATGTCAGTAGTCAGGATCCCAGCACGCTGTCCTCAGTGTGCAACGTTTCGTAGCCGTTCACAAAGCTGGCTCCCTTTGCAATTGCGACGGTGCCAAGGCAAACACAAGGTATGAGCCTTGACCACCATCAATCCAATGCCTACTGCCTGAAAGAGTCCTTGGAAATGACATTGAATGTGATCAAGAACATTAAATCCTGGACCGATGCATTGGATTTGAGTCCACAGTGTAATGTCCACTATGCTTGCCTCAGAAGGATGGATTTCTGCTCCTTGCAAGCGTGGCTGGGCTTGCTCCCCTGGTGCAGCTTGCACAGACGGTCATAAGGATAACTCACATGCCCTGCAGGGTGGCACCAACCCGATGTTCCAATACCCCAGAAGGAGATGCGACGTGACAGAGTATGCAGATGCATACACATCCATGGGAGGGTCATCGCCATTTGCACGAAAGGACCCTGCTTCAGGTGCATGAGGACAAGGAAATCGCCGGTTGACACATATGAATGCATACACGAGGACATGAACGGATTGTAGCTGGCAAGCTGCATTTAGTGCACATGGACAGGACTGGGCGTTTCCTCCACTGGAGAGAAAGAGTCATGTATTTCAGAGGCCGTTTGTAACAGCAATGTCGGAGCTCTGCCAATTTACAAGTGGCCGCAAGGGGTGGCGTATCTCGTCTCGCCGGCAGCACAGTTCAAGTTTTCGGTCATTGTATGCACAGGTCGAGCGCCGCCCAGGCCGCACAAGCATGTACTGCAGCAACAACTATACCCTGGCAGCCACATTTTCTTCCTGCAACAGAATTTCTTTATGTGCATGCACTTTCCAACACTCAGAGCGAAACCGGGCAGCCCTTGGTCACATGAGCAAGCCTTGCTGACTACTTTTTCCTCTTGCTCGTCCCATCTGACCTCTTGTCAGCTTCTTTCTTCACTTTCACATCCCCCTTCTTCCCGTCACCTTCCTTGCCATCAGCGTCCTTGCCATCACCAGCAATTTGCATTTCATCCATTGCTTTGCTCTCTTCTGCTGTTTTACCATCCGCATCGCCAGCATCACTCACAGATCCATCCACAGCATCTTCACCTTTAACTCCGTCTGCACTTGTGACCTTGTCAGCACCTTCGACCATAGGGCCATCGCACGCCTTTGCACTATCATCTGCTTCTTGGATCTTATCCCTGTCAGCCACTGGTGCCGTTGGCCCTGATTCTTCAACACCAGAACCCGCTGTCTTGGGATTTGCATCCGGAACAGGCAGGGCCTCAGAGGATGCAGGGGAGCTCACTTCCTGCTGGATGGTCAGTTCTTCATACATGATGTTGTGGTTTGAATAGACGCAAATGTCCGCGGCAATCTTCATAGCCTTCTCAGCTGCAAAATGTACATGGCACAGAATGTACATCACGACGTGCATAAATGCAATCGATCCACTGCAAACCTACTCTGTACTAGAGACGTGATGGCAACACAATGACAGCAGAGCATTTGCCATTTTCTTTACACGTTGGTTGTCAAAACAAGATCTTTCTTCTGGTTGGAACAAATCCAAATTGAGCTCAAGTGGCAGAACAGGCAGCAGGGCTTCCCAACTGGCAACAAGTTGCATAGGGAGAATAATGTGTGCCTCATTTGGCACAAAGATCCTTCGCACCTACTGCTTTTGCATCCATGCCTGGAATGTCGATCAGAGCCCGTGCTGCTGCGAGTGCGTATGGGCCACCAGACCCAATGGCTGCAATGGAACATCGAATTCAAGATCATGTAAAGCCAGTGGAATCAATTGGCAAGCGCAGATCCTTTGGATACACATTGTGGAAACGACTTACATTGCATTGACAACAATATACACCAAATATTGTGATATATCATCGCCCTCCCACATACCCAGGCGATGCCAGGTGCAGTGTGAACATTCTACTTGCGAACCTGTGGAGAAACAATCAAACTACAGAGCATCCGATGGGACCACAAAGCGATCACCAAATCAGGCTCAAGTTTGATCCAATACTGAATGTGTTCTGCTGTACTGGTGAAACTGGGGAAAATGAAAAACTGGGGCTAAACTGGGGATCATGTCACATTGTCACCAATGATGCTGACAGGATAGATCCTTATTGTTTTGAGCATCCTCAACACATTGTTTTGGCATCTCCCTTGCTTATCAAAAGGTAATATCATGAATCAGCCTCCCCATCCCATGCACAAGGTATGCTAACCTGAAATTGGAATGCAGTGAATGACCCTTCTGCCACAAGAGTCTTCAACTCCACCTCAAACCACAACAAATGGCGCCCAGAATAGCAGTTTCTGGTGAAATCAAAAAACACAGCACTTGGAGGATGCAAGGGGCACGGGGAGAAAACTCACCCATCACACCATCATGGGGCTCTATAACATCCCCAACACCAGTGATTTCAAGCAAATGGTTGTCATCCGCCACCAGCAACACTGCCTGGATTGACAGAAAGACAGTGCCATTTGGAGTGCGATCCATGACTGCACATTTCTTGTGTTGCATTTGTTGAAAAAAAGGCCAACATCCATAAGCCATATCTGGCGATGACAAGTGCAAATACCACAGATGTTTGCTTCCTCGATCTACTCTGTTTGCACTCATAACTAAAGTCAGGCAGGAGAGGCAACTTCCAGCAAGGAAGTACACAGCGATGGACAGACTGCAGACAACAACCATAAGAAGCAGCATGCAATGAAACCATGTATGGCAGCCAGCCTCGCTCACAAATCATCCACTGCACATATGGGCATAAGGTAAGTCCTGAAGCTATGCAGGCTCAGGCTGGTTCAAACCAAAAATAGCCACTGCCAAAGGGCACTACTAGTGCAAGCAATTCTGATGAAGTTATTCCTGTCAGCACCTTCAGCATGCACACGATGAATGTAGAACTTTTGCCAAATGCTACGGAAGGATGGACAGCTTCAAGTGCAAAAAACAACAGGCCCAGAAAGCAAATAGCAGCCGCAGGTCATAGAAGAGCAGCCAAGCTTTGAAAAGCAGCCCTGTACCTCCAATTTCCTGAGGAATTTGTCAGTCCGCCACGCCTTTGCCAGTTCCACAGCAGCTCGAACAATCTGGTCTGACAAGGACAGACACATGCATTACTGTGATTTACACAAACAAGCCCACAGCCTGGTCCTCCCAATACCTGTAAATTTCCAGCAACAAATGCAACAAAGAAATAACACAGCTAGCAGGGGGCTGATACACGCAGTGTAGTTCAGCACTAGGATCGAAGACACTGCTAACTGTTTCTGTGCATGGGAATGTTGTTAACCCAAAACGTGCCAACACAGTTTGCTTCAGTCATGGCAGTAGCTCTGCCCTGACATTCAATCGTGACAGGTGCTGACCACGGCTCTCCTTGAACTCTATACCACTTCTGCAAGGCAAGAATATCAGCCCATCCCCAAACTGATTGCACGTGAACAAAAAAATGCATCTCTTACTAGTGCAATCGCATGTTGCTTCCAGTGTTGTCCAGATGATGGCATTCGATGATATGTGACATGATATTGCATAATGAACTAACAGTTTCATAGCCGAAAAAAATAGTTGATTTCCATGCCGACAAGCTGCCTAACGAATGCCTGCAAGGAAAGGCACCCCAGTGTGGAGGTGCTGCACAGACCCAGACAACAACTTGAATCGGACAAGGGCACTGGATAAGACCATCCTTTCATATGCAATGCCATAATCATAGTGGTCATGTCATGCATACTGCTGAACAACTACATTCAGACAGAACAAGCTTCCAGGAGTCTGCACTGGCTGCATTGCAAGGCCAAAGATCTCAACCTCCACACCACCATGAGACATACGCATGGGAGGAGCTGAAACAACTTCTGCTGCATGTACCTGGGTACTCCTCGATTTTCATCTCAAGGGCATCGAACAATGTAAATGCATCAGCAGTGGCTCCTGCACACCAATAGCAAATTGCCATTAGCCTGAAGAGCGCGCTACCAATATTGAAAAATCAGTTGGTTTGCACATGCAGAATACAGTGTTGGGTGGCTGTGTTGCTGCCTGCATGGCATCATTAGGGTAGCACACAATTCGCCGGTGAGGTTGTGGTGTTGTTTTATCACACCCTGGCCAGATTTTAGACAGGAATTTTGTACTAAGACATATGTAATAAGCACATTTGGAATAAGTACACATATGTAATAAGCATCTGCTCTGTGCTTCGCACTATCGACAAGTGATTGCTCCCAAATAGATTCCCCTATGAACACATCTTGTCTACAAAACTGGGCACCCACTGCCGCCCATTTGGACCCTCCCGCCTACCTGCATATCCAACCAGAACCTTGTCATTGATTTTTCGGATTTTCCTCACATTTGGCTTTACAATCTGAGAGCCGATGGTCACCTGGCCGTCAGCAGCTATTAATACCTGTCTGCACAGTTGGCCAGCCGTTAGTATCCCTCCCTACTGTTTGATCAAGAAGTACAGCATTCAACAGGCACAACGTTTGCTGCCATTTCAAAAACAAGTAAAAGAGCATCGCCAGTCCGTCCGCCCATCCCCCCACAAGCAATTGCTTTGGCAGTCTCTTCCCCACAGCAGAAATCGACACAGAAATTTTCCAGAGCACCAGGCATGGCAGGCCATATGCAGTTCGAGATGACACCTGCGCTCAAGTCGGTGCGTAACATGGATTGTCATATCCTGAAAATTCCTTGTCAATCTCACGGATTGTGCCTCCCCGCGGCAATGCAGCCCGCTCACCGTGTCTCCCTTGCGCATGCACAGGACAGTCGTGGACCTCACGGCCGCCAGTTGATAGGCCAGCTGTCCGGGCCAATCCCCGCTGCCTTTATCAACTCGCCAACGGCTCCACGTGTCTGACAGCACGAAAAACAATGGAGGAAAATTAGGCGGTGTGCATCCCACCGTTCAAGAGGATCCCATCCCTCAAGGGATCCGCTCTGCAAGGGAAGGCGAACGAATCGGTCAGCGCAGATCACAGTTCTGAAACATGGTCGTGCCGCTTTGTGCCATTTCCTTGGGCAGCATTGTCCCACGGGCAACGGCATGCAAAGCAAAGAGCAAGCAGTCTGCGCAGGCAAAAGCTCTGAAATTGCTGCAGGCATCGAGCGCCGAGCGCAGTTTTGTGGGGCGGCTTTGGCATTTGAAGGGATGTTCAGTGAAGGGTGTGGCGTCGCGCGTCGGTAAGGAACGCACCTTTCAGTACCTGGGCGCCGACCGCCCTGGCCCGTTGGACTCCAGCCAGCATTGCGAGGATGCAGCAACTGGGTGGGGCCCACGCCTGCACTTGGCAACAGGCGCGTTCTCCTCATTAGGAGGCATCAAGTTTAGGACACTGGATACCTGAAGTTCATGCACTGAACTCCATGAAGCTGCTGTGTGGGCACACCATGTGCAGCGGGCACCTTGTCACTGCATTGAGTGTCCATGACAACGGTAGTCCAGTAACATCGGCAAGGCGATTTGAGGGCGCTCTCCATGGCCAGAAACTTGCCTACAGGAATGTGAATGTATGGCTGGCAAAGAGCAGGATGACATGGCGTCGACAGCTGCGCGGCCCGTGAAAGGTAGGATGCTGCCAAATTTTCTGGAAAATGTCGATGTACACATTCGCAGAAAATAGGGCAATACCACAGCGGTATTTTGACACACGTTTACACACAACACAGACTCGAAAATCGTTGCATCGTCAGTGCAGGATGAACGTTGTGCTACAAACTACCTCTCGACCTCCACTGAAGCTCAGAGCCTGTAATTTCTTGCCCTACAATGTACCTGCCAATGACACATTGTCCCGCCACACGCCGACAGGCAATTGCAATGCCACTGCTGGGGTCGCAAGAACGTTACAATACAGTCACAACTTGTGTTTATTAGGACGGGGACGGGGCAGTATGAAAACAGCAGTGCCGCTGTCTGTGCCCACAGCCAGGTGGATATGAAGGAAAGGATAAAACAAGGATTTAACGGCTACCTAATTGCCTTGATATGCTACATACTCAGCAAGTGTTACAGAAATATTTCGTGAATGAAGGAAAAGAGGGGGCTGCAAAAACAGCCCCATGATTTCAAGACTTTTAGTCCCGGAGCAAACGGCCATGTTGTTGAAAACAGACCGTTTCTGGGGACCACAGAGTGGAAGCGCCAGCAGCTGCAGCCCTTGAGGAATTTTGATTGTTGCCTCATTTATTTTTGCAAGTACGGTTTTGCATGGCCTGCAGCAATGCGACTCGAATTTCCATCACCTCACCGCGCAGCCCATTTCCCGGCATCTCCATCAGAAGCCCCTGGCGGCTGCGCCGAACAGAGTCAATGGCCCACGTGCCCATGAGGGACTACGCGAAAAGAGTTTGCAACTGAGAAGTGCCTGAATGTTACCCAGCAGGCTGCTTGCTCCTGGCGACATTTCAATTTCACATATTAGGTGCCGGCTGTCCATGAACGGGAACGCCAAGTCCAAACGCAGGGTAATGTGGGGGCAAGGAAAGTTGGGCCGCTGCAAGCCCAGAGCGCCAGGGGGAGAGAATCGCCCCTTGGCGGCCTGCCAGCCCAATGGGCCGGCCCCCAAAGTTTGCAGCAGCCGCCGAGGGGAGAAAAGCGATGAGAGCGCCCTGCTGGAGCGCCTCGCTGAGCCGCACAAAAGTTCAGAGCGACGTTCGATTGAATGCGAAAAAATGCAGGTGCAGTTCGCTGCCTTGAATCACAGGTGATAAATGGGACAAAAATTGAGGTCGTGATCAGATTGCTGCTCTCCGCTTCGACGCACGGTCTACTTCTGGCATGATGGGACATTCAAATTTCTCCGAAACGCGTGCTTCCGAATTCGTGGTGTTGTTACGGCTAGAACTGATTGAGTGTTATTAATAACTGGGTGCATGGAAAGATGATGAAGCATTAGGAATTGCATTAAGGATGTTGACGAACGGACGGAGTATAGAGGACAGAACGCTTGTTGTCCTTTTGCCTCGGCTGTAAACCGTTGCCGTGGACTCGAGCGTACAATTCCCATTCAGGGATGGCCACCCTTCGACCCTGCCTGCCTTCGTCAGTGTGTTGAAACAATTAGAAACATGACATGGGTGTGCGACATGTGCGTATAGTGCCGCTGCAGGACAGTATCATGCGGTACCGTGCAGGGAGCGCCGCTGCATCCCTGTACATTCCATTTTATTTCATGATGCATCTCAAACATAAATATCAATGCATGCGCCACGCAAAATGTCGCGAAATGTTTCAAAACAAGGGGGCTGGTATGAGGATGCGAATTTCGTGAGTCTATCCCTACGTTTCTGCTGTCATTTTCCATGTCTCATAAAAGCAACACAGTTCGCATAAATCTACACACAAGCAACAGATCTAGTGTCACAAAAACTCAACGGAGAATCATCTGTTGACATGTACCACTTTCCAAGAGTGTCCCAATTGGCAGCACATATAGTTTTCCTGTCATTCAATCAGAATGCCCTCGAGGAATCCTGCAAAGAGAGGGAAGCGCTGAAGAGGGAATGTGAGGATCTGAGATGTCGCAATAAAGAGTTGGACGAGGTAATATACAGGAAGAAGAGTTAACGAAAACCATTAACAACAAGAGCAGCATCCATGTGTGCAGCCGGAAAAGTACGCCGTATATCAACTGGGTTGCTTTGCCTGACGGCTATATATTCATGATATCATTGCGATAAGGCAATCGTAGCTCCATCAAGTAGAGCAGGTCATAACCACATGCGTGCAGACGTGCAGAAGCGCATTTCAATTTCTTTCAGATAAAACATGGGAACTTTTCCTGAAAATTGCCATTCAGCAAGTACATCCCATTGCTGCGGGCTCCTAAAATACATTGTCACACAGAAAAGAAGAGCCAAAACATGTGCAGCGAAATTTTTGCCGACATTCCTCTAGATTGTCAATTAGCCATACATTTATACATAAATGTCGCCAGATAATTGTACCAGAGACAGAAGAAAAATTCCAGCACACTGTTGCCAGCACTAACATGCTCACTTGCACAATAATTTCAAATTCGTGACCAGTTATACCAAGACCGCGTTTTGCTATTTGCCTTTTTCTCATCCCTGCTGGGCATTGATTTCAGATGAGCGCAGAATCAGCACAGTCTGAGCAAAAAAAGGAATTCAGTGTAGCAGCAAAACGGTATCGGACTGTTGTCTTCTGCGAAGGATTTAACCCAGACTGAATTGAAGCTCGTGGAGCTTCAAAACCTGGAGAGTTGGGTGAAATGCCAAGAGTGGCTGGGAGGCGCAGCAGGGAGGAGCACGGTCTTGGCAGTCCCCGAGCACTCCGAAACACAGAGAGAGATATGCTGTCAGGGCAGCGATGCTCCGGGCACCTGCGAGGTGTGCTGGGATTTGGAGCCACCACGTCATATCGCGGCTGTCTGGCTGAGGAGATTTTTCGCTGTTTCTGGATACAAATACGCAAAATAGCTTGGACCCAAATGGGCAATATTTTGAAGTGCGTCAGTGGATATTTGCGATTTAAATAGGCAACACCAGTAGAAAACAGCCTATTCGCGATGCCAACTGCGATGCCATTTTTGACACAAATTGATGCCATCACAGACACTTTCATGCCATCACACTCACTGTGATGGTGTCAATTTGCGTCAAAATGGCATCGCAGCTGGCATCGCAAATAGGTTGTTTTCTACCAGTGCAAATAGTACCTCCGCTTCATAAGTCCTGTCCGATCTCGAATTTAATTCTTGCTACAACTTGGCAAGATCAACTCAATCAATGAATCTGCGGCCATATTTGGATTCTTTTGTTGGTTTTAGGTTAAAGTGGATCTTTGCTATGTTAGTCACCACCACACAACATTGCATTTAGCAACCTTTTCAATAAAACCCCTGTTTAATTCCCCGCATTGTTGCATTGGCCATATTCCAGTGTGACCCAACCCAGCGCACCAAAACTCATTGCGAACTTTGTTGTAGACAAACATTCAGGTACAACCATACCCTTTTCACATTTAGATACTATTGCTATCACACTTTGGGGGGAGTCGTCTCTTCCGGTATGCTGAGCATGGCGAATCGTGCAGCCGACATTTTCGCTTACAGTAATTGGCTGCGTTTGCTTCAATCCATGGCGTTTTCTTGGTTGATGCAAGTATGTGCGGCCTTCGCGACTTTGGCATAAGTGAAAGATACATGTTGTTGCAATGATCAATGCGTCTCTTGGCCTTTGAACATTGCCTGCATGCAGTTGTTAATATTGCCCCGATTTTGCAGCAAACTCAAATACTTTTCCTTGCAGATTATGTTTGGGATCAAGCCGAATATTCTGTGGTCCCCAACCACCAAAGCGTAATTCTTTCCTTGTGATAGCTCATATCAATCCAGATCTTCCTAATGGCAAGGCAAACATGCTGTGCCCCATCCAATGCATGGAAAAAATGAAAAGCTGTTTCAGAATATCACAAGAACGGCAGCATCATTTGGAACGTTTGAGGGCTCTACGAATGGCTCTGCAAATGGCTCCTCGAAGTTGCTTTGGTCCATTTCTTTTGCTGGCACGTTTTGACCTCCGTTCGGGGAAATTTGAGATGGGCACGACTTATGAAACAGAGGTAGTGAGTAAATAACAAATAAGTAAGTAACTTACAAATGAGTAAATACATAAATAAACAATAGAATTTTGTGGATTCCTAATGGTTTTGTTTCCTCTCAATTCAGAAACGCACTTGCGCTGTCATCCCCCATTGGAATGCATCATACTTAAGGAATAATTCCAGCATGCGTCGCTTTCCAACGCGCAGGCAGCCCTTTCGACAAGCCCTTCAATCCTTCCTACAGATTTTTCCGATGGTGCGCCCCGCGAACGCGGAGAGGGAGCTGCGGGATTCCATGGGTTGAGCGGCCACACTCTGCGGCAGACACAGCAAACGGGACCTGCTGCTATCAGGTCACCATGGCACAGGACCCAAGGCAAGGAGCTCGAGTCAAGAGAAGCAATTTCCGATCCAGGCTGCATAGCTTCGAATCTCCGCAACGGGCGGCGCGACGGTGCAAAAGAAGCGAAATCTAGTCATGACTTAGATTGCTTGAAGAAAACGCCCAGAGTGATTTTACAAGGAGACAGCGTTGACGACACAGGCGCACAAGATGCGCATCAAACTTGCAAATGCGAGGAGCTTCAGGCAATGCACGCTGAGGCTGAGGGACGCGTGCATCAATTGCAGAGCGCGTGCAACGATTTGAGAAGAGAAAAAGATGATGTTGCGCAAATTTGCGGCTGCATCGAGAAGCGGAACAAGGAACTCGAAATGCTGTTTGAGGAGCTCAAGGCATCTGAAGAAGGCAAAGAGAAGTTGCTGTGCGATCTTCGCAGCAATTTCGATGTAATTCTGAAAGAAAGAGATGGGCTGAAAATTTCGTTGAAGGAAGCAAATGTGTGTGTTGCGCAACTCGAGAAGGAAATCCAAGAGTTAACGGAATTGAGGGCCGCATCGCAAAATTGTATCAAAGGACTTGAGGATCGAATTTGCCGAGTTGAGGAAGAAAGGGATGGAATACAGCGCTCCCGTGATGATAGCTTGCTGAAGCTACAGGAGCAAGAAGGGGCCGTTGGACATCTGAAGGTGCGAGCCGCAGAAATGGCCTCCCAAATCTTAGAACTGAAGTCTCGGAACAGTGAAACATTGACTGAAATAAAGCGGGAATTTGAATTCCAAGTTGGCGCACTGCAATCTAAAATGCTCAGAGCCAGCGAAGACAATACAAAAGCACGAGGCGAAGCGGATGCAGCGATCCAACAGGCAGAGACTGCAAGAGCCAGGCTTCATGATGAAACCAGCAATTTCAAGGCCGAAGAAAACAGATTGTTGCTGAGGATTTCGGATCTCACTGATCGCCTCGAAATGAGCAAAGAAAGCGCTTTGAATGCTCAATCTGATTTGCACAGGATAAAGGAGGAGACAGATACCAGTATGCGCGATCTGAAGGATCAATTGAGAAGTATTGGAAAAGAGAAATCAAATTTAGTGCAAGATGTAATTGCAAAATCTGAGCGATTGGAGCGCATGGAAGCAGGTAATATGTACTATCATCTTGAACTAAACGTATTTGACATCAAAATATGCAGTTGCTATGCCGTGCAATATGCTTTTTTTGTTGTTCATGAATACTAATCGCGCTACATTCGTGGAATATGAGTCCTTAACTGAATGAAATTGGTGACCAAAGTTTTAGCGCCTGAAAGCGGGTGCCCCTGTACCTGCACTACCATTTTTTCGAAAATTCAT